AAAAAAAATTAAGGAACAATTAAAGAACTTTTGGTACTACAATTTGATGATTTGAAGTCTACGAATAAGGAATTTTGGAACTAGGCCTTGGGCTAGGTTCCTTATAAAAAAGCGTGTATATTTCAGGGATTTGCAGTCAAAATATAATACGAACGTCGATTTTTCAGATATTATTTTTGAAATTTTGGACAAATTGCAAAGATTTTCAGGCAGAAGAAAAGAGATATTTAACTTGACCGTCAAAACGCTTGATTATTCAATACACCCTTTGTTTTCATGGGCTCTTTCTCGCTTACAACATTACATCGGTTTTATTTATATTCGGGTGATGCTTTATGTAACTTTGCTGACCGAGGGGCAATTCACTCTTGCAAAAAGCGTACGAGATTTTCCCAAAAACAAAAGGATCTCTGGGAATTTTCAGCTAAAACAATAGGATTTCCACCAAAGGTGTACGAGATTTTTGTAGAGTGATTTGCCCCTCGTTTTCTTGCATGATTTCCTTCTCATCAAAACGGAAGCAACGGAATTTGTTGTTCTCAAATCTAACCACGAGAATGCTCGCGTATATCAGCTTTTCGTTTAGAGGATAAACATGCGTGATGTCACGAGACTTCAAGTCAGCTTCTTTGTTGCGCCGTTATTCGATACGCACGCAATCATGTGCTTGGAATAACCATCACGATCATAACCAGCTGAACAAAATTGCTACGACCATTTTGATCACCATGATAATTATAATCATCGCGATCATCATTTTAATTATTTGATTTTTTTACAGAAAAACAAATGCGAGTTTCATGCTATATTTTTCGAAATAGACGCATCTGGGCTTGGACAATGTACTCATTTTTTTTATAAGAAACTGGCTATAAGAAACGAGTACTGGACAATCAGAAAAAAATAGGAAACTTCAGTACTCGAAACAAAAAAATTGATAAAACTGAGAACAACGAAATTTTGTAAATCTCTTGACGTGATAAAAAAGAGAACGAAACGGGAGCTTCGATTGCTGTCCAAAAAAGGATTGCTGAAAAGCAAAATTCTGTGGCAACCGGTGGGGTGGTAGCCGGTGGGGGGGGGAGGTGCTTCTCCGGCGACCAAAAGAATCAGGGGACGCTCAAGGCGACCCAAGTCGTGAAAGAGGCGCCAAAAACCAGTTTAAAACTAACGTGCATGTAAAAGACAACTCGAAATAGCCACGCTCCGAAGAGGTGCATACTCCAGTGCTTTCACTTTTTGCTCGATCAATTTCCCCAAAATATCCTTCTATTTGCTTGAAATTCATTCCAAAATGGACGAAAAATTCTTCCGATTTCCCTATTATTAGATTTATATGGATTGTTTTCACTTTCAACTTACTCTTAAAATTGTTCCTGGCGTTGCCTTGAACACGAGCTTTATCAAGTTATTTTCTTGTTTAGTTCCGAAATTCTTTGAAACTTCCGAAGCGGTAGAATTGGTGAGAAACGATAATAGCATTTTAAAGTGTTACGCCATAAAAATATTTAGACATGAGATAATTTAGAAAGTTTAAGTTTTTATCACATAACTAAATAGAACACCACAAATTATCTCTAAATATGCTTTGACCAATCAATTAAGTTTAGTTTGCTACAGATTTCTGCTATTTTGGCATAGTTCATCAAGTTTGGCGCTGGGACAAACTTTCAGCGATTTGAAGGGGATAGAGCCTTTGCTCAAGTTGCCATATCTCAGCTATTTTTTAACACATTTAAATAATTTCACACATTTAGAGATCTTTCAGACTATGTAACCCAAATAGAAAATTGTAAAAAAATCTTTTTGTACCGTCATAATATTGAATTTGTCAAGTCACTTTACTGACAAAAGTTTGCATAAACCTTGAAGGCTTCCTGTTTAATTGATCCTCTTTCTGACTGACAACGCCCAATTTACTTACTTTTAAGTCAGAAATTTCATCTTAATTTCTTATGAAATCCCTTTGAATTCCTTTTTCTTTATAATTCCTTTTTTCTTCCAATCGGCCGTAATTCCTGAAGAAAGGATAAACCCTTCAAGTGGAAGCACTGTTTTCCTTCATCTCTTCTCCGCAACGTGTTTAAAGCACTTGACCCTCTGGAACCTAGAGTAGGGTCTGGGGTGCGATAGCATCATAGCATCTCTTGCCAGTTCACAATTGTTCTCCGAATGCCCATAAGTTACCCAAATATACCTGATGGAGGCTGTATATGAATCAGAAAAATTTTCGCGATCAGTTTTTTCAAAATGACACCTAAACTTTGCAAAGCTACTAAGCCTTGTACTTTTACTGTCAATTTTTGTTGTTGATATTCTAGATAACGTGTTCCTAGAATTCGTAAAACCTTTACCATGGTCCTGGTCAACCAAATTCAAAACAGATAAAACTCTTGAACAAAATGATAAAAATAAGTTTATGAATATTTTTAATATATTTCTTCGACCCTAAATCCTAAGTATGCTGTAGATGCTTTGGATGCAGATTCCGTCCATTCTTAAAAAACTATATCTTCAAAATTTTCCGTGCTGCCTCCGATAGTGGAGGCCTCTAATAAACCCCTTAACAATCTCAAGATTTTGTCATAATAAATAAAGATATTGATGAATATTTCCTTGGGCCATCTTCAAATGCAGATCTATGTTTTAAATATTTTCGGAGAGTTTTCAGCCATCCTAGAACATCAAATTTGTAATTTTTTTTGCCGCCAACTATGATGGCGATCTTCACCAAACCCCTCTAACTGTCTTTTAGGCATAATGGTAGAGAAAGCTCAGAAAAATTTAATAGGACCTTCCTCCAGTCTAAATCAATGTTGACAATATTTTAGATGCAGTTTTCCATCCTCCCTAGAATGCTTTACTCTTTGGTCGCCAACTATAATGACAGTCGTTAGTGGTTCCAAACTTATAATGACGTTTTCTGATCCTGATAGAGTTGTATCAAAGGCGTAGTTCTCTAGGGGCACCAAAATAGATTGGTGCTCCCTAGCAAATTTTAGCCACCACGCCACTGGTGGCAACCCTGACCATTGTACACGGGCACTGACAAGGTGGGGCCTTGTTGCTCGGGCCCCCTCCTTCCTCTGAAAATATATTAAAGAGGGCTCAGCCAGAGACTGTGCAAAATTTTGTGACATTACGTCTGTCAAAAGAGAATAGCGATTCAAAGGGCCGCCATGTACAGATTCATTCCTCTTCGTAGTTAGCTTGCAATCGGTGGTTAGTTTCGTATTGAAGTCAGCATCTAGAAGAAAACTGACTGAGGTCTCAGACCATGCAGGCTTTCTAAGGCTATGCTTATACCCAAGTCGCTAATGTACATATGTGGAATTTTTCATTCCAAACCCTTTCAAAATCTTTCATGATTATAATGAAAAGCAAAGGTCCCAAACATGATTCCTGAGAAATATCAAATCCTATTACTAGAGCTAGTGCCTGCGTTGAAAGCACCACGTTAGTCGATGCACGAAGATTTAAGTGAATAAACAAAAATAATGTCCTAAAAAATTATTGCTTCGTTGGAATGAAAAAACTGATTATTCGATCATATGCAGGCTGTTGAGCGGCAGAACACGAGCATAATATCATCTCTTAGAAACAGTAAACTAATTTTTTCTGATTCTAAATGACACATCTTCTTCTTTAATTTCTTGTTAGGTTCTAAGCATATCACATTTTTTGTCAATTTTTCTTAGGTGTTTGTCATTTTTTCTCGAGCATTTCTTCGACATTTTAACTTGATGAGTTGCCATGTTTGAATGTATTACTTTTTTGCTTTTTAACCCGAAAATACTGAATATAGTATGATTTTCAGTAATAAAGTCTTTTTCTATAAACCTGAGTAGAATTCCAAAACTCTGAGGCTGGCTTACCCTAATTGGTTCTTAGTTTTAGGGTAAAGTTGAAGAAATCTTTGGACAATGCTTGTATTCTTTTTTAACAACAAAATACTTAGCCTTAGAAAGTTTCTTTTAGTTTTAAATCAGTTGAACTTCCACTTCATCGATATCTTTTGAAGGCGTATGCAAAAAAGCTCTGTTCAAAATTACATTTAACAACCCCAGCTTGTTCTTGATTTTAGACCAATTTTAAGGTTGATGTTCTTATCTAAAAGAGTGTATATTGTTTCCATCCACAACTGCTAACTTTGGGTTTTTTCTGCCTAGACTAAACAAAAACTGGTGGGAAAAAAGTATCCAGATTTATTGTTTACTGTTGGTTGGCATGGTGGAATTAGTCAAATGTCACTATATCTACTTGGTATTGCCACGATATCAGATGCACAGATGGTATATTTTAATTTGAAATTTTTAAACTTAGGCCTTCTTAGGCATTCCCTGCTAGCAATACATTGATATTGAAATCAAACCTTCAAGGTTTGACAAAATCTTGGTGTTCGTTCATCCTAATTTGTTGATTGTTTGACTCGTTGTTACATTTTGACTCAAAGTAATTTTGGCAGTGATTGTAGCAAGAATAAGAACACAAAATATGTTGCAATATATATGTCTGCTTAATGAATAGAGTTGGATTATTTAAAAAATTGGCCATACCTGAGACGCTGGTTCCTTAGTTCAACATGGAGATTTTATAAACTGAAATTAAGTCGACCTCTTGTACTTTTGCCACACACCTCAGAGGGAGGGGGCACTTGACCCCTCCTTGAGAGAATATGTTCATTTAGGGCTTTACTCTCTCCCTTCAAGCAACTTTGCAGAAATAAACGAACTGGATCTGGAACCACTTAACAAAATATGGTGAAGGGTACGATTTGGTTTGAAAATCGATGGCCAAAAACAATTTCCCTTGTAGTATTCGCATCAATAATACCAATGTTTACTGGCCAAGAAAAAGGCGAAATTTCTTATATGTCAAATCTGCTAGAAATCACCACCCAATCCTATATCTTATGTTGGGGCCTAAATATGACGACTGGCATGTGTGAGTCAGAATCTTTATCTTGGAGATCAACCTTCAGCCAGAAAAAATTCAAGATATTTCTGACACCGAACATCATAGGAAATAACTTTCATTGAAAATGATTACATTCTAAACACTATTTCATCAAACCTAGAATTCATTTTAAATACTTAATTAATAAACAAAACTTCAAAAAGGAATGTAAAAATATGCAAGTTTATGAAAAAGTAGCCGAGTACTTAAGATAACACGTTCCATCAGAAACATCAAAAAGGGAACAAATTGACACTTCAACTGGAAAAAAGTTGAAAAACCTACAACTGCAGATTTCTCATAACAATATTCGCTAGAAATGTAGTTTTTCTAAATAGTTAACAACATGTTACGAAGGAGCGTTTAACTTACTAAACAACTTTCAACAAATCTTTTATCATGTAAATTCTCAACAACATTTATTGACTAAATATAAATAATTTTTAACTTCTAAAGATACGCATTAAAAATTCAAAATTATAAAACTCGAAGACAACATAAATCTATGTAACGCCCAGTAGATTATGATTCTATTCTAAGTACACAAAATCCCTTCAAGCCTGGCGTTTTCCTTGCTAAATGTTTATACACCTCCTTGTATGCATTAATTGAGCGATATGACACCTTACCCATGTTCCCGTCTATACTCTTAAGTGCTACAGGCACAGAATAGAATCTAATTCTACAGGCATACAGTCTTAGGCCTTGGCGGCACAGTCAGTATCACCTTCTTCGTTAATAGTCCCGTATCCAACAGCAGGTTTGGCAATGATCTCATCACCATCCTCAGTCTCCATACATCCACTACCATCCACGTGATCTTTCTCCTTCTTGACGGCTATGCTCGTTATCCTGCGCAGACTCGACTTATGGTGGATGCTTATTGCTTGAATGTCGTCCACATTATCGGTACGCCCGAACAGCCATATGAGAGAACCGAAAACCACGAAAGTAAGCAGACATGGTATGAAGGCAGTTCCAGTGACAGCTAGGGAGTGGCCCCGGTATCTTGAATTAACAAGGGGATCTCTGCTGCCAAAACTGTTGTTAACAGATGGATGGCTCCAACGCCAAGCATACGAAAGGGTCGATTTGTTCGCAGTTTCCAAGAAGTTACGGTCTGTCACCGAATAAACCTTTCCATTTGGTCCAACATACTGCCCATAGTCGAACGGTTTGTAAAATATTTGGTTCTTCCACATGTTGAGATCAAGCAACATAACCATGAGGAGAATTCCATAGTTGAACCATTTACCGGTTATATGCACCATCCAGTGCTCTTTTCGCAAGCAATCAGGGATCTTAAAGTGTATGTAAGCAGTGTTGATCCCTGGAAGTTTTACGTCAAAATTGGTTTCGAAAAGCGGAAAGTCCCAATCCTAAGAGAGTGATATAGATATAGGGTTACAGAATTGGTTGGCACTGAATAAACTAGAAAAACCTCACAACGGACATCAGCCATGCGTCCCGGGCTCTCTTACTTTCCTCGTACAATTATAAGTTATTTTAAAGTTATATGATCATCATAGTACAATGCCTATAAGCGTATAAACCTGATAACTTAGAATTTCCATTAACAACGAAAATTGCAATAAGTGAACATAAAAAGCTTGAAATTGTTTTGAATTATAGTTTTTCTGAAGCTTCAAAGTTCAAATGTACGTTCTAGAAAGACTATCATATAAAAGCTTTCAATTTTTTTGATTAGTTGACTTTTAAAAAGTGCTAAAACAAATGCCCATTAAGGATCTGTTGCCAGATTTCAAAGAAACCTAAATCCAATAAAACATTGATGATTAATAAATATTTTAGCGAATTAAATAAGAGCAGGTTGTTAGGAATAAAAGAAAAGAAATGTTGATGGTCGTGGAATGTTGGTGGGTATTTCCAGTGGTGGCTCGTGTATTGGGGCTAGTGGGGCTCAGCCCCACCAAAGATTTCCAAAAATTAGTTTTAGATTTATAAACGTAAATAAAATCAACATCCATTGTTATTTTAGCACTGTTCACTAGTTTCATTGTTTCGAATTTCACTGTTTCTCAATTCTCTAGTTTGTTTAGTTCTCACTGCCCACGGTTCTTTTGAAAACTAGACAAACACATGTATCAGAAACCATCTCCCGAGCTTTTGGGGCTAGCCTCAAACTATAAGGGAATGCACCAATCAAGTGCTTGTCATGACTCGACTATTCAATCGATAACTGACTTCTGATTGGCCAATTCTGAACGAATCTGCATTCCTTTCAACTAGCCCCAAGAAATTAAATTCAACTGTAGCTAGTCATTTGAAACATAAATTTTTCTTGCAGAGCTCGCCTGGTGTTCTCATTGGGGTTCAGATGTTTTTACAGTACTTGCCAGCATGTCGATAGACCAATTAAAGGGTCAGCAGTGTCCCTTAAATTACATGTCGATTGACCAAATTATAGAGCTATGGAGACCAACGATTTGAATCACTAAATGTCGTTTCTACAAAAAAACGTGCACTAGACTATGTCACTTATATGTTTGATTACAACGCTTCGTGGTCAAAAAAGGATTGAAAACTCTGCGTACCAATCCAGTTGACGAAGTTGTGGACACATAATACATCCCGTCTGGCTACAAGTATACCAATGCTAGCTACAAGCATACCAATGCATGTTAACGGTAGTTTATGAACAAAACAATACCTGCATGACAATGGTGAAATCCATGACAAGGATAAACGATGCTAAAAATCCTCGACCCAGTTCACTTGTGTGGACAAAGTCCTTGTTGAGTGTGTCCCAATTGATGTAGTCTGCTATGATAGCCGAGGCTACAATTGATGTGAGAATGACTAGAACTGCCCAGAATAGGATCACTCGGTTCCATCCTTTGTTCCACCAGTTTCGCACAGGCTTGGCCCAATCCGGATACTTTGCAACTTCCTGTCAACAAGATGGTACATATTTTATAGCTTTATCACATTCTTAAACTCTAGGACAAGAGCTTAAGATATCAAACAGCCAAATAGATCGTAATCATATATAGGTGTGATAGAAAGTATCAATAAAAATTTGAAATACTGCATCTTTAGACTCCTTTACTACAATTAGTAATGGGAAACCAAAAAAATCACCCTATCCATAAGACTGCCCTCACCCCACAAAATGAAGGCAATGGTTTGTAAATGAAAAAGATCGAATAAAAGGTTAACAAAAATGGTACCTGAAGCATCATGTCAGTGACCATCCAAGCTGTGATGAAATCCCCCATCCAGGTTCCCAATGCTGCGGCTTTCATAAATGTGTGATTTGTTATGCCCATTTTGGATGAAATCTTGTAAGGTGCCCCATTTACTGAGTCTAATCCAAGAAACCCATTATAAATAAAGGAAAAAATGAGGAGAGTGATGATGGAAGCAAAAAACATGATCATCCACGAGCCTTGGTCATTTTGAAACATTGATAATCTAAAACATTTTCTGAGCAGCAGCCGGTGAATCACAAGCTTTCCAGCAATAAGTGCCAGCACTATGGCAAAAAGGTAGAGGAATACCTTGAGTGCAGAGAAACCATTTGGTGGATACCTGCAATGCAAAAAACGGTAACACGAGGTGGGAAAAACAAAAATTTTCTTTATTCTTGAATTTTTGAGATCATTGTCAATGACTATAAATGCTAAGAATAATACTTTCTTTGATACAATTCAACAAATCATAATATGAAAAAAATTTATTTTAAGTCTTGATTTAGTAACAAATAGTTAAATGTTCAGAACAATGAAATGCTAAAAAGAACATTTAATCAAACTCGATATCTTATAAAAAGAATTTGCTCTGGTACCTGAAAAAAACTTGGAAAGCTATTGTGCCAAATTCCCTACAGTCATTACTTGTTAGTCTTATAAATGATAATGACATCATATAGTAGCATTAACTAACACAACATATTCCATAGCATTATACTGACAACAACTTGCAAAATATACTCCTTTTTACATCTAAAGACACATTTTACCAGTTATTCAGCCATTTAAAAAAGCATGGCTCAAATGATAGCAGTTTTTTCTCATTTATAAAATATATTTTGCTTTAAAATACACAAGAAATTAACAAAATTAACCCTGACTTCCAAAGTCTGCTTAACAGGTATAGAGATGATTAACTGAAAACAAATCATCTTTCGGAAATCCTATTTCTAAAAATGTTTTATTGCCTAGATCCCCCCATCCCGGGATAGGCAGGGCCGATGGGGGGCCATTTGCCTCTTGTTCACTGGAAATTTTTGCCCCAGGGGGCGGGTTTCACTTGTTTCGAAGATCACATCTGTGCATGCACAGTAGCATTTTCTTCTATGAAAAATGGTGACTTCGTGCACTTTTTGCATTTGGGACCAATCCTGAACAATGAAGAAGAATGGGGAAGCTTCAATCTTTTGTCTCTTTCATTCTTCTCCTCTTAAATAAGAGAAGAATGTTGTGAGTTGATTTCCTTTCCAAAGCTATGTATGTAGTACATGAAAAACGTGGGTGGATTCTAAATTCACTGGGCAGTTTTCATTTAAATATTGGATTAAGTATAATCTATATGTTTTATTCCATACCTGGTGGCCACAAAGGCATAGTCATTGCCAATTGCTGGTATAGTGCATTCTTTAAAGCTATGTGCAACTGGATCTTCTGCATAGATGAAAAAATTACAAATTGTGACACCATAAGCAACCAGCAACCTCATATATGGATGTCGGAAATAATACTGGAACTTCTTTAGATATCTCTTGGGCTTGCTGATGTGTAATGGCTGCATTTCCTACAAGAAATAACACATAGCCTTAAACAATTGGCTGAAATATAGGCAAGTTACATCATCCTCGAAACAAGAGCAATAAATTGATCTAGATACAGATAATAGAATCAAGCTGAGATATTTTGAACAAGAAAGGTATTTCATATCAACAAAGCAAACAATAAGGAAATGTTGGGGTGGAAATAAGAATTGAATAAGACTAAGAAATTGTAGGACAAGACATTGCACTTCAAATTGGTTGAGATCTTCCTCTAAGTTTGAGAATATACCTGGTTAGAGACTTTTTTATATTGACATGGGTGTAGTGGATACTCAAGGCCCCTTTCCACATCAATGGCATTCAATGTTCACTGGCCGTTTTAAGTGAATTCACTCAGCAAGCTTAAGAAGGTTCACCGGTGGTATCCCTGTTGCTAGAGGTGACCTTGTTTGATGCTGCCAACACATCATTCTGATGTCAACTGTCAACATAAGTTACTGCAGCATGCTGTTAAACAATGTGATCATTACCATTAACTGTATTACCAATAACTTCCCCAAACAAATTAGGCCCTATGCAAAATAATTTGAACCAAGCCGCAGTTGCCTTATTAATTTATGGTACTTGTGTTAGTAAAAACAGCCAATAAAATTATTGATGCTCTTCTCGACTTTTATGTCTCAAGAACCCTAAGTGGTGCAATAATGCACTAAAGGGGGACAATCACTGTTGCAGAGAGTGTACGAGATTGCTACATAAATCAAAGGATTTCTAGAGATTCAAAGATAAACAAAAGGATCTCCAACAAATTCGTAGAAAATTTGAACCACAATTTCATTTCATCATAAAATGCTCATTAACCAGTCCATATTTGATGAAAATTGTATAGTCATTCCTGGGGAGGGGGCCTTAACATGTTTGAAGGTACCAGGGTTGTGCCATTATTCAGGGATACCTTTTTCTGAAAAGTGTGGAATTATCTGCATCAGTTTTTTAAATATAAGCAGAACTATAGGTACCATTTGAAAAATATGCAGAATTATGAGTACTATTTTGGGAAAATATTGGAAATTATTAGGAGGGAGATTTAGCAGTAACAAACTGAATGTGCAGTTAGAAATTAAAGTATGGAATATGTGTAATATTGAGATTTTGGGGCCAAGGACATCCAAAAATTGTTTGATGATTTTGTTGTGCTTTAAAAATGTTATTTTCTTTGTTGAATTATGGGTATAGTTCTATCATGTGTTGGCACTGAAAACTTAGGACATGCCACACCGAATATTCTAGGACAGAAGTCTTTTGCCAAAGATTTAATCAGACTGTTACCCTGGCTATATGACACCTTTAATCTTGCATTCTTACTAACAAGCCAATAAAAGCTTGTTTCCACTTTCCACTTTGCCTTGATTCTTAAAACGATCATTCAGTAAATGGCATATGCATTGGACAGTTAAAGGGTTCGATTTACATATTATATTTTGGAGAGTGACTAAATATTTTGGGGTGGGGCCCTAAAAGACTGACTGTATTGTATTGTAAAAAGCGATAACAATTGCTCAGAAATAAGTTATATCGAAATGAACACAAAAATTTCCCTAAACTAACTTTGATAAATGATCAGACTTGGGTGCTAATTTCATCAGTTTTGTCAATAATAACCCCCCAGGTTTGTCACAGAGTGCCAGACTGGAAACTTTGCTTCTTGCACGGGCAAGTTTATTTTGAAAATTTGAGACTGCGCGCCTGAAATCATGCACTCTTAGTTATTTTTATTGTTAATAATGTTAAATCCTATTGTCAAGGGATCTAGGGGATTTTGCGCGGCCAATATGCAAAAGCGCGCAGAGGTGTGCGCGGGCAATATATTGCGGGCGCGCAGCAAAGTTTCCAGTCTGGACAGAGTGCATACTGCTAGCGCAACAAAAACTTTGCCTGCCAATTTAACAAACAATTCAAAAATGTATTGTTAAATCATCTCAACCGTGCGATCTTTTTACCTCAAGCTGATTTCGTTCTCCATTCAAGAGGTTTTGGGATGAATGGGACATATTGAAGTCTTTCCCTTTCGCACCGTCAACAGCCTCACCTTCTGTATTGTTTTCTTTCTGCATTTGGGTGAGGCTTGTTTCAGACTCGTTCTTTTTGTTCCCGATTTCCATCTGTTTACCTACTGTTTGATCCAGGTCATTGGCCTCTTTTCTATGAACACCTACATTTACTTTAGACATAAATGGTTAACCGATGTTTTCCTTTCCCACTAAAACCTCAATGTCCGATGGAAATTCCTAAAAGTCTTCTCCGATGGCAACAAGCAACAACGAATTTTTTCCGTGTCTCCAATCCATGTTCTTGATCTCGTTTCCAATCTTGGTCTTCAAACATGGCGATCGTTCCTGTTGGAATTTGAACCCACAGGTATGTGCAAGAACCTCAGCCGTGCAATTCAAATGCCATTATTAAACTTGACAAAAGCAACAGTTTAATAACAGAATTGCTTCTGTTAATTCCGACCTTTCACTTGACACAGCTGCTTTGCCGCGGAGTACAAACATGAACCTGAGTGTTGTTTTATTTTTGTTATTAAACTACACTAGGGTATCAAAAGTATTGCACCACCCTGCTCAAATTGGCGGCACTTTTTGTCGACTTTTTGACAATGCAAAACATTTGAATGCATTAATTGGGTGAAATAAGCGCATTCTAGAGCAAACTTTTCCCGCCAAAATCTTGCTGACGCCATAGAAAACTTAGTTAGAAATGTATAAATTACGCAAAAACATTTTTATCTGTAAAAATGTAGCCCATGCCTGAGGAAGCAAAATTGTCAAATGAGGGGCGAGTCGCTATAAAATATTTACAGGGAAGTGGTCTTAAGAAATTAAAGCTTTGACATAGTCAGAGTAAAGTCCAATTTTTAACATCACTTAAAAAGTTTGACTTCAAATGAAAAAGGTTACAAACCGTGATCCAAATGGTGGTCCAAAGACCAGAGAATCATTAATTATAAGAGGTTTCCAGGCCTAATACGAAATTCCACAAGAATATGTTACCAAAATATATTGGTCCATTTCAAGGAGGCTTTTTGCGGTTTCAAAAGTTTGTGGCTAACCGGCAAAATATTGAAGTTTGAGACTGTTAAAAGACGTTTGCCACTGTTATCTTTTTAAAAAATGCTCTAAATATATTGAAGTTTTGATTGGTGGATGTTTTGTTTTCGACCAATTGCCATTGGCCCTTTAAAAACAGAATTAATTTGCATAACAATAGCTTTCGATCATTCATGCGCCATTTCTCCTCCTTCGAGGTGGTGCAATACTTTTGATACCCTAGTGTATTATGGTTTGAAATTAGAAGCTCTTTTGATATGGTTGACCAAGAATCCAAACATTTCATCCATTAGCTTGATAAGAAATGCGAGGAAATGGTGATTATTCCATTTTCAAGATAAATTCTTTGTTACCATGAGCTGAGAACAGAATGAAAGGGACTAATAGCTTGATATCCACTTTTCACTTTAAATGCTTAAGTCAATTACAGCCCCATTTTACTAACTATTTAGTGTGCACAGCAAAAATATGGTGTATTGATCTTTAACTTTTAAGGAGTTCCTCCAAAGGTAGCGCAAGCCTTTTCAGGATTAAAACCTGAACAATATCTAAAAATCATGAGAAATATATTGGTTGCGAAGTTTATTGCCAAAACATGCTATTAACAGGCTTCCTCAAAACAATTTAGGTATATACATTGTGCTGATTAGATGTCATTGTAATATCAACTGGCACATTATCTTCTTTTGCAAAAGTTTTGACTTGGAAGGGGGCATGGTCTTTTTGCAAGACTGATAAGGAATTTCAATTATTTTAAGTCACACTCACAATTCCTATCACCCAACATTTTTTCTTGAATTCTTATTCCTGCACCCAAAAAGCTTGGTATTGTATGTTTTTATGCAGATTGCAGGATCACTTTTACCACCATCTTGACTGGGTTTTTGTTTGTCTTTAGGCTATTGCTTCAATTCCCCCTGCTGTTGCAATTTTATTTGTAGTAATAGAAAAAAAAACTTTTTAGAAACTGCATCATTTTTCAAACAAACTTGGAGTCTCGCAGCAAAACCAGGAGAGTTTACAGATCTTCAAGTTATGTTTGCATGTGCATCCAAATTTTCATGTCAATTACATTCAACAGCAGACATACATTTCAAAAATAAAAGCATATTATGATGTACCTCCTCTTCAAATAATCAAACCAACATAGTTTTGTGGGAAGTGCTTGCCTCTTTCTTTAGCACCTGCATTTACAACTTTTTCTAAATTTGCAACATAGCTAGGCATTGTAAAAGTATATTTTGATTTAAAAAACAATGCAAGTAATTTACTTAATTAGTTGTGAATTTTATTACCATTTTCAAGGAAAAATCTGGTAAATTTATTCGAAAATTTGACAGAATTGAGTTAAAGGTAGAGCAGAGCAGCTAGCTTTTTCTGTAGCACAAAGGCATGAAGTTTCTTTTTGCTTGATTTCATGATCTTGATTTCTTTGTTTAAGCTGTAACCTTGCACATACTTTGAGGATCTTGAAAAGCTATATTCTCATTTACCATGAATTTGCTTTTTGTCTTTAGCTAACATGGCAGACAAAAGGCGGAAAATGCGTGTTCAAGGGGGATGGGCACCAAAGAGAAACAAAGCAGAAACATCAAAGAGTGGAGATGTTGCAATAAGTGAAAAAACAGATAATGGCCAATCTCAGGCTGTTGCACATTCTTCACGTGGTCAATTGATATTTAAACCAACTGTGAAGGTATGTCTAGTTTAGGAACATGTGATGGTAGAACAAGACACCAATGGGTAGTGCAAAGGAGGACTTGGTCTTGGGTTTCTTGCTAGAGCATGTTCTTTGTATTGGTAGAAACAGATTTTGGATTTAGATAGGGGGTATTTCTTGAATAATAGATATGTAATTGTCACTTCATGATATTATTGTAAGTTGTAAGATTGATACCAGGAGCGTAGCTAGGGGGAGGGGGGAGGGGGGCGGGTGGCGGAGTAACTTCATGAATTTATCAGCAAATCTTCAGTTTGTCTACAAAATCCTTAGTTTGTCAGTAAAATCATCTATCAGTAGATGAAAAAACACCTAAATTCTCCTCCATCTATTTTTTCATCAGTAAATTTTTCTACTTTTGACCCTCTATCTCCAATACCCCCTCCCCCCCCCAGGCTGTGTAAGAGGCGTTCCATAACAATGATTGGTAGAGCGTGAGGCAAATAATAACGCACTCTTACGTGATCATCTTTCATGAATCATATCAACTCAAAAAACTCTCGATCAAATCTCTTTTTACAATATATATAGTAAAAGTCATGTGATTAGTAATAAACGGCGCATGCGTGACATGTGACAGGAGAGTGAACCTGTTACAGCTGAAAGGACAAGTGTCACCACTGGCTGATACCATTATTATAACATGGAGCTTTGTCTTGTTTGCCAGTATATTTAAGAATCATTCTATATCAGGGCTTGTTGGTTGAAACAATTAGCAGTAACTTGTGAGTTTATTGTAAGAGGCGTTGCTTATTGTTTTAAAACCATTTCTTATTTTTCTTTTTTCAGACTAAAAAGGAAAAACCAGACGTAAAGATTATAGAGTAAGTAACTAAGTCAGTTTAATTTGATTTTACGCAAGCAACTGAAATAAGATTTAATTTTTTTATTGGATTCAGTTTATATATTCTTATCAAATTTGTTCAGCTTTATCCACGAAACTAATAGCTCCATAAATACTTTAGAAATTGACCTGAAACAAATATCTTCGTTTAAATCATTTTATTCAACAACAGGAAGCCCCTTTCTATCTCTTCTGGAAAAGTAATTGTTCTAAGAAACCCCTTTATCTCCACTTTCATTTGTCCTTGTCCCTCCAAACTTTCCAATTAGCATCAGAGCCACAAAGTTTAAAAAACTCTTTATGAATAACGAAGTATACAAATAGTATTATGTAGTGTATAGATTAGGATAATGTGTAAAGAGGTAACAAATATCAGTAAAGACATCTAAAGAATTTAGCGGCATTTTGGGGTTTTTTCGTGAGTTGCGTGTTTCAAAACCGAAAGTTATACACTTTCTAAAAATATTTTTATAAGAATATTCAGGCTAAGAGTTATCAATTTTTTAAGAATAATTTAGGAATGTTGCTCAGCTTCAATTGGCATATTTGTGTCTTATTTTTTCACAAGTTGCCTTTTTTGCGATGTTTACTAAAGGGAATTGCAAAACTTGCATATTATCGCTTTTACAAAAAAACGTGGTTTCTTTTCAAGTGCGGGTGATTTTCTCCTAAAACCATATCAGGTTTGAAAAAAAGAATGATCTAAATCGACTTAGTTCTCGCCATTTTGAGCTAATCGAAAAAAGCTCAGCCCGAAACTGTGGAAAATCAGGCAATATATTTTAAATCTTTGAAAGAAACCTTAGCAAATTTTTTATTGTAATGTTTTTTTTCTTTTTTATACCATAACTGAATGTATTAACAATGTTGAATGAAAAAGCACTTTAAGAATATATTCAGGCTCAAAACTAAAATTTCTTGAGAATGGAAAAAATTATGGCATTCTTATAAAAAAGAATGTATGTTTTTGCCTTTCTGATATCACGTCTTAAATTTGTTTTTATAATGCTCTTCTTTTAATTGCTCCAGTAATCCTCGACTGCAGATCGACAGATCCAAGAGTGTAGGGTTAGTGTCCATGACCAAACTTTCTCCCAGAGTAAGTGGAGTCGCCATGGCTCTGTATTTCCGGATGTTGGAGTCCCAAGTGTGGTCACATCGGGAGGAAAGACCAGGACACTGCTCGATGAGGATAGATTTGCAGTGTCCTAAAAAACTACCTTTGAATACTGTGTTGAAACTAATAAAAATACAAGTAAATAGAAATAATATATAAATTAGACTGAGGTATTGCTTTTTACTGGAGATTTAGAATATATTTGCTTAAAACTGTTTATGAGTAAAGCTACGATGTCAATCTCATTCTCAATGTCAATCTTATTTTGCAGCGAAGATGGTGAATACAATATAAGTGAAGGCCCACATGGATTGTCTACGTGAGTCTATACTTAAGTTCTTCTCTCAAAATGTGCATTCAAATATTGTTGCCTGATTATGATGCCTCAATTTCTACTGCTTTGAACTAATCTTGCTCTATAATTTGTACTCTTAAAAATCTATCCGTTTTGGGGAGGCCACTGAAGTGAGGATATGTAAAGGATACCTTAGGAATATGGTATGCGTGGCAGTGGACATGGTGCTCAAGGGGGTATTACCAAGTGTCATTTACCTACGAAGTGGGCGAGGCGCCCTTTTTTGCCAGAATGTTTGAAGAAGAACCCTTGGAAGGCAAAGATCTCCACGTTTTCGAAAGACATCTATTTGTTCAAAATTCGAAGGGGGTGTCACCAGTGACATAACTGAGACACTTCGGGGCCCATCTTTAGATTGAACCCTTTTATAGGGACAGCGAAGCGAAGTGACCTCTAAGGAAAATTCTTTAACCTTTAAGAACTTCGGCAGTGCAGGTTAAGAGAGAAAGATAATTTTTAGATTGTAAAAAGCGAGCAACAATTAAAGCATACTTATTAAATTGCGTTTCAAAATGTAAGCATAGATTACTAGCGTACATTGGAAACTATTGTTCTTTGGTATGTTATTATGATATCCGAAAAAATTCCAAGAAATACCACAATGCACCATGTCTCCGCTTAAAAGAAATGGACATATAAGAAACTTCACCCGCAAGTATAGAAAATATTCTCTCCTTTATTAATGGAGCAAAATTGAGAAAACATTTAGTCAAATTTTAAATAATACAGTACTTCGTACTTAATTCATCCATATTAATTTCTTGGAGTATCCTTCTTTGCTATGGAGCTTGAATTCAAAGACACCGTTTTTAGTTTGCAAAAAATATGTAAAAAAGGGTTTGTAAATGGAGATATAAGAAATAAACCATTCTCATTTTAAAATCTTTTTTAGAGGATCTTACTTTATTCAAAAGTTCGGACGGTGCTATCGTACTTTTTAATGAATACTGCTTTTAACATACAAAATGGACCGAAAAAATATCTTGGACCGTAATTCAATCCACAGCTGGGTATTTCCTAGCTTAAAGTTTTCGATCGATGTGTTGACGTTTTATAATCTGAAGAGTGTCAAACGATGAGCACTAAGGGTTTTGGATGATCTTGAAAGTTTTTAGCATAGTATGACTGAAAAGCAGACAAGAAAAAATAGTCGTTAGGGGCCTTCAGTTCTGGAGCTAAGATGGCCTAAATTGCGTTACGCCATTGGGTGTCAGACACCACACGCCCTCATGGCGATGACCCTAATGGAATCGTTAAAGTTAATTTTGACGTCCCTTCATACAACTTCCCTCACTTTTTTTGTCGCCAAAATCCCTTTAACTTAATTTTTAAATCTGTTTTGTGGTCGAACTTGCATAGTGCCTTTTCCCCTTTCGAATCTTCAATTTTGTTTTGTTTCTTTGTAGAATACAGTTATGCAAGAATTTCATCGAGCAAAAAGAGACTGAATGGATAATGGAGCAGCTGGTGACCGAGATTCCATGGGAGGAAAAAGAGATTAAGATTTTTGGTATGTTTTCGAAATCTAAAGGCTCTCTTTATCATTTTCCCTGCAATTGGGATTGGGTTCATAGTTGAGTGGGTGATGAGTGTTGCAGCCTAGGTCTTTTCAAGCAGGCACCCTTCTGGACTTTAGAAAAAGTTTTCAGATCTTCAACTAGTTCTCAATGCATTAATTAATTTTTAACAGGTTGATTCCATTTTATCAAAAATAAAACGTTATTTTCCTGTGATTGTATTTTCATTTTTTTAGGGTTTCCAGTTTCACGTTACGTTACAATCTATCGAGTACTGCTTTCTCTTTCAAAAATCTCTTCTCTTGATTTATTTTGCAATGAATACCTTCTTGGATCACAGTGAACCTTTGTCCATCCTTTCTTTACTTTGTCTGTTTATGCTGTTATGCTAAAAACGTTCTATAGATCTATACCAAATTGCATCGGGAAAGTTTGTTTTGACCATGCCATTGTGTAATTCTCGCTGTCAATACATTGAGAGCAGTGGCCTCATTCGAAATTTCCTTTTTGTTCTGCATCAGTTTTTGTTTGCCAACGATTTTTGCAAATGGATCGAAAACAACATCCCTATAATCTACATTTTCGCGTGTCCAACGAACTAAAATTATTCGAATAAACTTGTCTGCCATTCATTTTCATAATTTTTTGTCAAATGACGGTGATATAAGTTGGTTTACATTTTCTATTTTGAAAAGTTGTATTTTTCTATAATTATTTTCAACTTTTTCAGCTTTTGATGTTTCCTTTTCTCCTGGATTCTTCTTTTCAAACAGTTACAAATCCTGTAGTTCTTTAATTTATGAATGCGACACCTGCCTTCGGCTTTCCATGAATGTTTCGTATTTACTGGTCTACTAAAAATATTGATTTTGCTTGCGTCAAAACATAAATTATTGAAGCTAACGAGTTTCTGGAGTGCTGCATCGAGTGACATTTTTTAGTTTTATCGTGAAAAAGACACTCATTATTGAAGGAAACGCTGTTGGACACTTTGTGAAATAGGCCATGAATACAGTAGCTTAGGAACCATATGACACGACACAGATGCAACGTGGAATCAATGGATCTTTTTCAAAGTAAATAAAGGAAAATATCGATCTTTTATCAACTTACACTTCGACACGCGACCTTTGCACGCGGAATCAAAGAAAGTTGCGCTACGCATGCGCAAAATATATGCCCCTAACTAAGTCTAATCAGATGGTAGACTGGTGTCACCGAAGGCATTAGGTTAGTTACGCTCTGGTCTTCCTTCAGTTTCGTATAAATCTTTCGCCTTTTACTAAAGATTTCCGTGGAGGAGGACAATCTGATGAGCCTATAGCAATTTTTCGAACGCCCTGCTTCAAGCGGGGCAACAACAGTGTAAAGAAAATACTAGAAAGTTGAGAGAAAAAAGGAACGGACAGAATTTTATCCTCAGAAAGACCATTCCACTTTTTTGGACCCTTAATCGAACCAGTGTTAAACCATGTTGAAAATTAGTTTTAAGAACATAAAATACTTCACAATAGTTGGATTGTGTGGTAACTTGTTGATGAAGTATAGAAAGAAAAACCATGAAAGCGCAGAGTTGAATGCAAAGTAGACATGACGGTTTTTTCTGCCATTTGATGCCGCGGCTCAGGACGATGTTATAATAGCTATTAAGTCGAATAATTCGGATAGATGTTATTTCAACAGACAGATACCCTAAAAATTTAAGATATTTAGCTCTGTTAATGCGTTTTAACCTATTTGTTTTGAGATACCAGGCTGTATTTACAGTGAAGAAAAAAAGGAAAAGGTTATTGATAAGAATTATCATCATCAGGTACCATCTTCTATCAGAAGGTTGGCTACCATGACCCTCCAACTATCCCAAAATCTGAGTTTTGGTTTGTTGTCATGGTCAAAGAAAAAACTCTAGATAAGAATTAACAAAGTTTATTGGTATGGTATCTAACAACCTTTTTACAAGCTTTACCTTTTTTTTTAAGCAAGTTGCAAAGATTATCACAGCCATTGTAAATGGTGATATCATCTACCAAAAAGGAGAACCTTTTTCACAAACAGGGACATGTCATTGATGAAACGCTCTTTTAAGCTTCGGGGGAGGCGGGCTTGTTTATTTTGTCAGTCCTAGCGGGGGGCTTAAAAGAGAGGGGCTTATTAAGAATTCGAAGTAATAAGTGTTATGAAAATGCCTTTATGTATTTTTATGTTTTGGTCATATAAATATTCTCAAAAATTTATGTTAGCAGCTTCGAAAGTTTCTTAGAAATTAATCAATTATAATGTCCTCATCCTCATCAGATTCATCACTCATTTGATAACCCTTGGACATCTTCTAAACGAATTTTGACTTACTTCGAAGGCGCACAAGTAAGTCTTAATTGAGCCAAATTTAATGCACACGATCTTATCATCATCACATCCGTCAAGAGATCCCACTAAATGCGCATGTTTTCTTTTTTGACATTAAGGGCTAAAGATGGGGGCTTGATAGATAGGGGGTTTAATAGAGAGGGGGCTCAATAGAGAGGGGGCTTAATAGAAAGGGGGCTTAATAGAGAGGGGGCTTAATAGAGAGAGGGCTTAATAGAGCTTTTATGGAAGGTTTTAGACAGGATACATGAAAATGAGTGGTATGAAAAAAAGCCCGTCAAAAAGAGAAAATCTGGGCGAAAAGTCCATCAACTATGACGTTTAGTCAATGGTGTTTCTGTGATCTATTAACAAGCATTTTGCTTGCTTCTTGAAGGAAAGAAATGTTTACAACCAAGATTAACAGCATGGTATGGCGATTTCCCCTACACATATTCTCGGTTGACGTTAAAGCCGTTCCAGGTAACTGCTTGTTCTCTTTATTCTTTTAATTTTCCATTGCTTTCTTAACAAAACTATATTTTCAATGCAATAAGTATAATTCTGTTACTTTTAATTGATTCCATTTCAAAACAGAATTCATTACTTTATGAGGCCCCTAGACCTCGAAGCCTTTGGGAAATTTGCCTCCCTTCCCCTCTTGCCCCCTCTCGGCGGCCCTGCTTACAGTATATCCTCCTTCAAACGAACACCTCCACATTAGAAATTGCTTGCTTTCTTGCGATATTTCCATGCATAACAGTTTTGAAGAAGAAACCCCCACAATGATCAGCGAGTCTTGTTCCAAACTGTGTGATAGTCAGCTCTATCACCGTTTGCTAAGCATTGGTTCTATTATCCTAAGGGCCAAATTTCTCCCAATAATTCTAGAAAAAATTATAAATTAATAGTATAGCTTTGTTTGTAGAGATGATTACTCAAAATGTTTTCATGTAAATTGTGAAATTGATAAAAAATGTTCACTCACGTGTGATGTTGAACTACAATCCCTACCAAGTATTTTGAACGCCCTTTGCTTAAGTGCTTTTGGGAGGAATTGGCTATTTCATTTACAAAATACCGATTCCGCACTCCCTCTCCCACAGAGAAATATTGGTTATAGAGTAACATGTCATAGCTTTAGAAAAAAATCCATCGGACCACATCAAACGGAACTTCTAAACAGCCCACAAAACAACATTGTCCGGAGGGCAATTAATTTTTCAAAAATGAGTGAAGTTTGCCAGTAGTTTTGTCAGGCACTGCAGCTTGAAAATGCATATCTCAATGCTTATCAATGAATGGCATTTGCTTTTGTATCATAGTGGTCGCCAACTTTGAATATTCTACGAGACAAAATCGAGGCGAAAACTGGTTTGAAGTTTAATTCAATGTTAGCGAACCTGTACAGGGATCATAAAGACAGCGTTGTAAGTTACACACAATTTTAAACGTCTTTTCATCTCCACATGCGTCTTTTCTGTATGCACCCCATGCGATTCGGACATTGTTGAAAATGATCCTGTTACACTCGGCCTAATACTGCGAAACCTAGGTCTAAAGAGATTATGGGGTATCAAGTCAATTTCTAAATCAAGGCCGTGCACCCGAAATGGGATTTCTGATAGGAGCTATGCCCCCAAACCCTTGGTATACCGCTGAACTGGCGATGGCGTAGTTTCATTAGGATATAAACGCTTTAACAGAATAATTATCTAAACAGACATAATCTATAACCTTTTAGCAAAAAAGTACTGTTATCGACAAGTGACCAGCTCCAAACATGAAGCACCTAAGAAATTAAAATTTAAATAGCAATACTTACAATCAAATATTTACAGTTTAAAAAATGGCCCTCTAGCTTTACATTAAGAGTTTTTTTCACTTTGGTTTAGAAATTACAACAGATTCTCCTCTGGGCATATATCTCTTTGAAGTATTAAATATCTGTACTCCCAAAATTAGTTTCTGCAACTTTGTTATTTACCGTATCTATGCTGAATCTGACAGCTGATTTATGCACGTGGGTGCAAACATCACCTGCCAACATACTCTTTCTCCGTCCAACTTTCAACTTGAGTTTTTGGTGTATGTAACAGGGCGGTTCTAAGTTGCTTCTCAGAGTTTCCTGTTTTTTGCGAGCATCAGGTGACTAGAGTTCTATTCAATCTGCCTATACGGCATCGAACACTATATGACAGACCGGCTCACAGTAATTTTAAGTCGTTTCATAATCGTAGACAAGTTTATGATATCTGTTAAATCCAGCAAATAAGAATACTACCAACTTTTCTATCTAAAAAATTCTTGTTATACACACCAAACTTTACCAAAAACAATAAAAAACATGAGCAACTGGGACATCGTTGTTTCGTTCAACTGGTTACTGCCTCCAACAATCAGTGTAATCGCAACGTGTGGTTATTAGAGAAAAGGTTTAAATTTTTTTAGTCTTCGCCCCACAGTTTCTCCGCTTTCAATGACCTTGACAACAAATTATTACAACTTATTCAATGGCAACCCTTTCGCGACCCAATGTTGCGTTTATAGTTTATAGATATTTTAAGGCAGTTTTTTACTCAATGTTAAACACTTTTATCTTCACATGGCTATACATGTACAAGACTCAGCTTATGTTGGTTATTTCTATGCAAAATTATTTTGTTCCATAAAGGCCGTTATTCTCAGAAACTCAAATCCGTTCTTTTTGGTTAAAAATGAGAACTATGTAGCAAAACTTAAACATAAACCATTACAATTTTTTTTATAAGAACAATTTTATAAGAACACGAGCCTCACAACTGGTCAAAAGAACAAATTAAGAACAAGCTGAGGCTGAGCTTCTGCAAAATGCAATTTTGAACAACATTTTTTCTCAAAATCGAGGATTTTTAGCAATGTGTGGGTGCTTTTTCGGTGGATATTGAAATTTGTCAGCCAATTAAGGCTGTCCCACTCACTTTGTTGGCATATGAGGCCTGAACACCTCCTTAGAGCAAAAAAGCTAGCAATAGCACTGCTTACAACCTTAATTTAAAAACAAATTTAAGAACAATCCAGCCTCAGATTTTCGAAAAAATTAAAAACAGTCAGCCTGAACTTAAATTTACTGGTTCTTATAAAAAAAGAGTGTATTGCCTTTTAACTATTTTTTAGTGAGTCCCGAGATTCTGTCAAATGTCGCTGCCACCAATTATTGGCCATTTCTGGTTTTGATTGCCCCTTCGCCACAAGAATACTTCATTAAATCAGGCTCCTACTTGTTATGAATTGTTTTTATAGATAGCGATGTGCCTATTAACGTCAGAATGGCTGCTCAAACGCAAGCATGTTGCTTGTTGATTAAAGCACTCTGTAGTCTTTGACGCAGATTCACAATTAAGCCTGTGAAATCGCACATGGGGAAGAAGGGGTGTCCTGCTCTTTAGTAAGTAAATACGTCAATGGCCCTAGAACTCTCAATTTAGTATTTTTAGCGAAATGCTTGTACGCGTACCGTGGTAAAATCTAATCTTAAACTTGATGCAGTGGCGGATCTAGACAAAAATTTGAGTGGGTTCCAATATGGGCGTGGTCCCATATTTTTCTGGCAACGCCCTTGACTTTTTCCAAAATTGGTTGACGCCTATTTTCGCTTTTTGATAAGATTCACAATTGCAAGATTTGATTTTAATCATGATTATTATTTCATCATGATTCCAAGACAAATAAAAAAATAAATCTGTAAACCAAACCAGGAATTGTCATTATGAATTCTAAAGAAATGGTTTCGATTTCTTGCCAAACAGAGGACCTTAATAAATTCCTCTAGCTGGTTACAGCAAGACATAGACATGAGTGTTGCAAGATTTGAGTTAAATTCCTGCTATAAATGATGCCAAATAATTAACAAGACAAATTTACATATATTCACCAAGTTTGTCAAAAATGGATAACGATGGACGAAGCCTCTTATCATATATAGCAAACAAGCCCAATTATTAAAAAGTGCAAATTATGAAATATGAAATCATCTTATCCCGTTCTCAAGGTCTTTCATTTTATCTTAATAAAGTTATCTCACTCTATAGATAAATATATTCTGTATAGGGCTTCAAGAGTTCTATAAGCTTTCTACGTCAAAGAGAAAATATCTTCGACATTCCTGAGTTCCTGCCAAGAATTCTCTGCTGCTAATTGCAACGCATTCTTTCGTGAACGCCACTTTACAACTATCTGAAATAGACTTTTCGCTAGATCCATGTAAAAAAGCGGTGATCTGTTTTCTCCAGGTTGGCTAGGCCAGTCGAGAAAAATGAGCAAATAGTTGGCGAGGCGTGTTTGAAAAGCTTTCTTGAAAAATCATAGCACTCTTCCATACGATTATCAAATTTTATTGATCTTCAGGTGCTGGTCCCTTCCTGTTTGAGGGCTTAAAACAAGCTCTCGTCATCGTGCAGTCAAAGCCTCCACTCGCAGCTTCACGTCGCCATTATGACAACCGGAAGCATGTATGGTCAGCGGTTTAAATAAGTTCCAATGAGTTCGTGAGATGGGTTCCAAAAGGGTTCTTTTGTTTGTAGCAAAAACAATATAAGACAATTGATTGCCATGGCTACGACAGGGTTCCTTTCTTAAAAAATACAATATGGTACAAAAAGTTGCCTTGGCTACGACAGGGTTCCTTTCTTTAGAGGAATATAATATGTTACAAAAGATAACCATGGCTACGACAGGGTTCCTTTCTTTCACAATACCATATTTAGAGAGCAGAAAAGGTTTTGGTACAAGAGGCCATTTGACGTTGGGACTGGTTGCGATTAATTCGAAAGTAAAGGGAAAACTGATGTTATGTGTCTCTGGAAAATTTAACAGGGTTCCAGAACCCTTGGAACCCGGTCTGAATCCGCCACTGACTTGATGCCTCATTGTTTATGGAGAAGTTGAATGAATAATGTAGAAATAATCAACAGAAGTCAATCCAAAGTACGTAAGTGATGGTCTCCACACTATTTTTCTTAAAGAACACACTTAATAAGAACACTCTGGCTTGATTTGCCAAAAATTAAAAGCAACGTAAAAATACAAGCCTTAGATGAAGCACTGGAAGAAAAAGATGAAGCACTGAAGACAGAGCAGATTCGAAAAACCTATCAACCCTTCTACAAAAAATGTCACTCAAAACTTGTAGGAAAGACCAATGTTAATGTATGCAAAAGCATTTGGAATAATTGCACCTCCAATTATCCCGAAATTAAGCCATAGGTGTGGTGTTTGGCGAGGGCACAGGAAAAGGAAAGTGTTTAAATTCCCTTGTCATTTTTTAATGAATTTCAACACCCATTTCACTAAGTATGACTTTATTCCTGTGTACATGGAGAATAAGATATAAGCAAATGTGTAATCCCCATCCGGTAATTGTTATCTCCCTCTTATTTTGATTCATAGAGTAAGTCCAACTCTTTCCTTCTATTACAACCCCGTTTAATCAAACACTGGAGCGTTCTCTTTGCTCAGTTTTACGACTTCATTGCAATATTTTTTGGAAATTTGACATTGTTCTAGCACTCTTCTTTTCTTTGTTTTATTATGAAAGTTACATTCGTTGAATGTCTAAGTTCCAGGACAATTAAAGTTATTTCCTTTTATATTCATTTTGCACGAGTTTTTCTTAGTGTAAGAATATTTCATTTCGCCTTTAATGATAACCCTCTATAGCACCGATTCCGTTTAGACGGATTCATTCGATTGTAGCTGTAAGTAGCTTGAAAAAATTTGCATAAAACTTGTCCTTCTAAGAAAAATTCTAAAACTATGATGTCGGGGCAATCTTTGTTGCTTTTATCACGACACAAGTGCTGCAATGAATGCTTGTTAAGGTTATTCATCATAATCTTGCCGTGCTAAGCTTTATAGTTCAGTTATTTAAGGAGGAAGGGGTAGGGGTGGAGACATTGTTATTGAAGATGTTATTGTTGGTTGGCCATTCTTTGAGGTTCCTTAAGTGAAGTACGAAAGAAGAGTGTTGTTCAACTCGAGAATGCATTTTTGCAAAGCTTAGTGATGCAATCGAAACTGGAGTGTAAAGCTTGCTTTGTCACCCAATGAATATATTTTTTGTTCTACGTTCATTATATTTTCATTCGGCTCTCATTCTAGTGGGTCAAATAGTTTCTTCTTGTCTTGAATTATTTTATTAGGAAACGAAAATTTACTTTGTGATAGGATAATATCTTGATTGAATTTCGTCAAATTAATGCTTTTAAACTTGAATGAATTAATTTTATTTTCCAAAGTAAAAGATATCGCTTTCGTTTGCAAATCAAATAAGGTTTGTAAAGCTTAAAAGGACTGTTAGAATTTGCATCAGTTTAGTTGTCATGGTAAAGAACTTAAAATTGAAATTTGATTAAAAGGATTTCCAACAACAGTTAAATCCTTGTTTATTTCCATACAAATTGTAACTCCCCCAGATTCTAGATTTTTTTCTTCCGTTTAGGGTCAATTTTATTTTTAAATTTTCAGTTGTGCTAAAAATTTTTTAAGCCTTCTGAATTTTCTTGCTATATTGGTTGACTGGTTCAATTAATTTTCCAATCTTTCTTTATAAGCACTGATTTCTCTATTCGATTAGTGGGCAAACAAGGATGGTCTCCAGTACTCCGTTTTTTAAGTACTGTCAACCTCGAATGTCTATTTTCCTGAATGTTTGTCATCAAAAAAGACTTTTCATTTCCTCTTTGTTTTAGTATCAGGCTGAGTAAAGAAAAGTTTTCCTATTTAGACTACCCGGAACAGATTCTCAGTTTCCAAAAGAGAAAAGCGAGTTTCAACTGTATGTTGCTATTGGGTAGTTTAGATAAAGGGACACTGAATTTGGAACTTATGACTGGCACTCTTTTTGGCATTATTAATGACCTATATATTATTTCTCTTTTTTCAAGGATTGGCATAGTGATGACGAGAAGAGCCTTGGTATTAACCCAATAATTGCATCGCTTTCGTTTGGAGATACAAGATCATTTGAGCTCAAGAGAAAGCCTTTGGAGGTATTTCCATTTCTTTATTATAGACTAAGCAGTGAATGATAATTCTATATCGCCACGCTGCAGTGTTATTGTTAAAGATGCTTTGCAATGACAGTGAGTTCTTCATAGTGACTCTCATTGCAAAAACACATCGAGCCATCAATTTAGTTTTCAGAAAAACAGTTCGTCCCAGCTTCGTATAAATTGTTCAACTTTGATTGGTGCAGACGAATAATTATGTAAGCCAGCTGACACGCAACAAGAATTTAATAATTAATCAATTGCATCTTTTTTACATCCCCAACTTGAAAAAATTCATGAACTGGGTTCATATTTTGCAGCAGCGTTTAATTAGAACCGTTTGATGTTCTTTTGAAAATTTTTGTTGAATTTAACGCAGTTACCGTCTTATAATTCCGCTGTTGCTTGTGCAGACCCACATTTCTCGTGCAGTTCTTACATTTCTCTTGCAGATCTGATTTTTATTTTGTATGCAGAGCCAACCTTTTTATTAGCTTTTTCTATCATTAAATTATAGAAATTCGACGAGAAGCAGTTTTTTTATATCTTACACAACCTGTATATTTTCCCTGTTTTTAAGGATTTAAAAGTCTCCTTAAGCATTTTACATTGTATTCAAGAACCTAGACCCCGTTTACACGAGACCGGTTCAATAAAAACCGTATCCATTTGAGTTCACTTCCTCCTGTTTACACGAGACTGTCTTCAAAAAAGTTCACTTACGCTTTCTGTTCACACGAGACCTGAACTCAAGATCGTTTGTGAAAGAAAGCTCAAAACACTCGAGTCGAAGGCCCCTATTACCGTGACAGCAAAAGGTGAAAAGGCGTCAAATTCTCTTCGTTTTCGCTTTATTTCTAAAGTTACTCCACGAGGTTTCTGTTCTCCCAGGCCTCGTACAGAAGGTTCTTCTCTTCTATTTCTTTTCAATTCTCAGCTTGTGATAACGATCTCATATCGTTTGGAGCTCTGATCTGCTAACGCAACCAACCTGTTTTGTCGAGTTCGATGAACCTTTGACATTACGGTTGCGAACAAGAAACTACTGCTGACTGCTGCAGGGAGTGCATATAAAACTGACATCAAATTCAACGTTATTTTGAACGATCATACTTGTTTCTTGGCGATTGTCACGATGATGCGTAAAAAGGGCGCCAAAGCGAACAAAAGAAAATTCGTCCTCTTACTACGTAGCCTCCGTCACCGGAGAATTTACCCTCGTTACGGTAGCGTACTCAAAAAGATGCAGTTTCAAGTGTTTACACGAGACCAAGTGAGACCGACTCCAAATGAGTACGCTTTCGTAGGTGAACTCAAATAAGTAAGGCTAGGTGATCTCAAATTAGTACGGTTAGGCAGGTCTCGTGTAAACAGAACGCCTAAGTGAACTCAAATTGATACGGATCTTTTTGGAACCGGTCCCATGTAAACAGGGTCTTAATGAGTTGTGAGTCAACAGAATCGTTTTAAGTATTTTCATTTAAGGAAGAGGAAAACGGTGAAGATTGTCTCCAAAAAATAAAAATACCGTTGACAGACGGGAGTTTATTGATTATGCGAGGAGCAACACAGCATGATTGGGTGGTAAGTCCAAAGCAATTAAGGCAGAATTCTGTTAGATATAAGATTTTTATGTGAAATTCAGGTTGTCGAGATTAAGGAATTTTTTTGAAATTTGCGATTGATCATCGGTGATTTTATAACCATGTCTGCATGGGAAGCTTTCACATATGTAAAGCTGTGAGCAAGTGGCTTATCTTCCATGCAGAAATATTAAAAGGTCAAGTGGAAACTTTAATTTAGAGTGCAGCTCTATCACGTCTTTGCGTAGATAATGAAAACTCGCGAAGGGTGTTTTTTATTAAAATTGATTGCAAAATTTTGAAATGTAAAATAACTGAGCTAGAGCTATTTTAAGACTTGCTTTGTACCCGCCCGAGCATTGATAAGATGAATTCTGATTGTTGTCCAAAACTAAAGTAAAAATGTCTGATAAAAATACAAAATGGACTTTCTTTGTCTTGTTTTTGGCAGATGCAAAGAAACTTTTTCAGTTAGTAATCAAGATAACGAAAAAACTTCAAATCAAATGAAATTTTATTATTTCAAATATTCTACACTTTTGTTCAAAGTTATTTTGTTATTTTGCGGCAAGTAAGATCATGGGACCCCTCAGAATTGCTAACCTTCGCTAAGGCAACGACTGAATGCCTGACTGGCCTTTTTTAAAAGAATTGTGGTTAAAAGGGCATTTATTATCAGATAGTAAATTCACTTCCAATCTACTTATAATGTATTCTATATTATCATTAGATAAAAGTTAATATTTGTTTGTCAAACTGAATCTGGAGTTATCATTTTCAAGCATTTGTGAGTAAAGCAATAACAACATTTTAAAAAGTAAAGTTATATGACAGATCGAAGCCTTACGTAAGGTAGTTCTTTTGGCTGGCTGTATTTACAAGAAATGCAGTCAATCTGTTTTGAATTTGTGGTCCATGTGTTGTATAAATTGAAATGAAAAGGTTCCTTGCTACATTTTAAATAAAATCAACCGGGGCATAAAAGTAGCTTTTAAATGTCGTTTTTGGAAATGTTTAGTTTAGCTTGGTTGATTTTCTTGCTTATTAATGCTCGTGCGCACTAAATAAGCAGTGAAACTGTTGAACACATTGCTTAAGCGGATAATTTATTATTAAAATATCGTTAATTTCTAATATCCTTTTCTTCTAGCATCGAGTTGCGAAAGAGTACCACGACAGAGGACCAAGGATAAATCTGACTTTTAGAAACATTCATCCAAAATAAATCTGCAAATAAGCATCGGTATGTCCAAAACTAACATCTAGCATCTAGCACCTAGCACCTAGCACCTAGCACCTAGCACCTAGCACCTAGCACCTAGCACCTGTTATATGTTGAAGATGAAGTGCTATTTTGTGTTCATAAAAATAGGTCTACATAAATCAAGAAAGCCGTTTTAAAATATGAAAACTTTCCTTGTATGACAACGATATCATGAAAACAATAATTTTTTTGCCAGCAAGTAGTAAAACTTGTGAAAAATTAACGTCTCTTGGTTGGCAAAATACCCTCGCCCTTTGATCCATCGATGCTTCTTGCTAAGCATTTTAACGGGTGAACTACCAGGAGCAATTTCGCTCTCTTTCGTATCAGGAGATTTGTCTATAATTTCCTATGGGTTTCGTGATGTATTTTAGAGCTCAACTCAAACATTGAATCATGCCAATATGAAAAGTGATAACGGCAAACCTGGCATCAGCTCAAGCATCAGTATCAACGTAGATTTATGCGTGTTACCAATGTTTGTTACTTTTTAAACGCCACATAACATTGCAACGAAATTGAAATTCTTTTAAGAAGTCTTTTTAAGCTCTTTGGAAGCTAAAAGCAGCAACAATCCATCTTGTTGGCATTTTGTTTTACCACTTCATCCAAAACACAACAACCCTTAGTCCTGGCAGGATTATATGAAAAAATCCTTGGTAAGCAATATCTTGTGACTTAATCCTTTGGAAAATGGAATACCAACATGAAATACCAGAGCACCGTCACTGCCAATCATATCTGCAATTTGAAAACAACCTCCTTTAACTTGGGTTTCTGTGAGTTAACAAAAAACAACTCACAACCTAATTTAAAATTCAAAGATGTTTCAGAATTCATTATTGCTTGATGCCATTACAATAAAAAAGTTGCAGAGCATACAAATTGATTTATGATTTTTTTCATTTTCATAACCTTGGTCAGTTTTTTAAAAATGTAATTCAAAAGATTTCTATTATAATGATTTTGTTACATATAATGAATTTTTTATTTTATTAGTTAGTGAAATATGTACCAGAACAGCTTGTGTATTCATCTTTTTTTATACTTTGAAATTCTTTACACAAAGTACAATTAAGCTAAAATACTGTGTAACAACTGAACCTCCAAAAAAACCTAATTGCATTTTGAATAGTTCTTGTATATATTTAGCAAAAATAAGGGCTATAAAGATTAAAAGTGTTGTAAAGCTATTTAGACTTTAAAGATTGTAGTAACAAGTTAATAAAACCGTTTGGTGTTTGGGGTTGGGTTTGCAAGTTGTTACGTCACATGACGAAGCTATGACAATTTCCAAGAAAAACAAATATTAAATTGCTCATGATTTATATTGTTTAAATTCTGGTGCGTGTCTTTAGATGGTAAGAACAATCTTAAATTTTTTATCGATCCACAATTGGCAAAACCTGTTTCCCAGCTATTCTCATTTTTCTCGAAACGCAAAGTAGCCTCTAGCCAATTTGCACCTCTCCCAAAAAACAGTTACTCTCATCCCAATAGGCCTCTTTGAAAGAAATCTTTGATTTTTGCATATTTCCTAAAAAAATATGGCCACTGATTACCTAACATATCTTCCATTTCTCTTCTTTAAACATCTTCAAATCTTTGACAAACTTATTGAAATATCACAACGCATTCCCTCCTTTATTACACGTAAATAAGACAGTTTTTTTATTCAATGTATAAAAGACTGCCGATCAAATGTCAATGGTATATTAAAAGCCCTCGGATCTTTTCCATTTAAGCTGTATCTTTAGTTTTTAACACGTACAAAAGCAAAGCAGTATTTCTGTGAATGACAGTACCATTTGTGTTCCAAAAGCTTGCACTATTTCCAACAATAAACAACTTGATTCATAAATTGAAACACTGCTCAACATATTTACTCAACTAATGTCTTTGTGTTTGTTTACTCCATACAGGTATTTTGAGTCCATAGGAAATGACAAAATGGCTTTAAATCGAAGAGGTATGTCATTATAACGGAATTTTATGACTTCCTTCCATACTTTGCTGGTATTTGATATTGATCAAAGTGGTTGAAAGCGATTTGAGTGCAAGCATTTTGTGTAGTTTGAGCTGAGTTCAGGATTAAAAACTAAGATCTCACAGTGGAAACGCCATAGATGGACAAAAAATGACCGCCTATTTACAAGAAGTAGTGTGCGGATTTGTAAACAAGCTTTACATGAACATGAATCTTTGACGTAATAGCAGTCAATCTGTCTTTATGTGTTGTGCTGACAGTTCAAATTGAAATATTTCACGTTATCTTTAAGGCACAACTGTTTTCGACAGGAATCACACATAACTGAAGTTCTTTTGTTTGTTTATTTATCGAAAGCTAGACCCTGTTGAATAGGTGCTCATATTCTTGTTGTGTTAGCTATGTACTGGGATGTTATGTAACAGAAATTTAAAGCATAATGTCTTCTTAGTGAAACTTTTACCGTTTTGAATAATATTCCAATTTTAGAGATATTTTAAAGTCAGGTAAAACTATTAATTTTTTTGTGGCTCAACAAATCAAAATATTTCGACGTTTTTATTGTTAGTCGCGATTTTCTATATCTTGACCGCTTAATCCTCACCTCGCATTGGCTCGCTCGTTGCTGTACAACCTATATAAGACTTTGGGAGGTTGTTTGAGACTTTGGAATGGAACAGAGGCATTGTTTTTTCATTCCCTCAAAAGGCTTGTAAATGCGTAACCTCGGGAATAGGGTCCTGGAAAATGTTCACCCGTCTTTCCGCCCATCAACCAAAACTTTTTTAGAAATTCATTAAAAGGCAAGAAAAAGAAGACTTGCTTCGCGTGTAGAAATAATTTTTTTTGTTTTCTTTTTTTGCGTTGTGCCACACTTTCGCATTTTGCTTGACGTGGCTTGTTCCATGTAGCACTGATAGCGGCCGAATTCAAGACGCAATCTCTTCGCTAGCACAACGTCTTTCTTCAGGGGTAACATCACATCTTAATCGTTATGACGGTCCGTTAAGCATTAATCTTTTACCATAGTGGGTATTGGTAGCTGAGATGGACTGCATAGCTTTAAAGTAAAACTGTCATTACTTGCGAAAGGCTATATCTGATCATAATCAAAATATGACATGAATTTTGACTTGAGTTTCTGAAAGCTGCACACGAAATGCCACACAGACGAGTGACTTTGATCGAAACGCATTGCTCTGTAAAGCGGCTAATGCTAATGCTATATATCGATTGTGTCTTAGGTGATTTCGCGGCTTGCGTATTCATGTATGTATGATCGAAACCTTCTTTAAGCATGTCAAGAACCCTCCCATGTGCTTATAAGTTGAATGCCCAAAATCTGTTCTTCGTTATTGGGATTATGCCGAAATGCCACCAATAGTGAGCCTATTCGTCTGTGCTTGGGTCATTTTTTGTGCACTGTTGTTCTGTCCTGTCTGCTGGAGCTATCCCAGGTCATCTACCTGGAGATCTCTGGTCATTGTTGAAACGGCCAGGATCAACATAAAGAATGCCTTCGGAATCAAATAACTATAAGCGCATCTTGCGATCAGCTTTTCACGAACCAACCCTTCTTTCAATTTCTCATAACACGTATTTACGCTCATTGTCTAGGTGTATAGCTCTTAAAATTCGTTCAGACCCTCGTAGAATTCCAGAAGGCAAGATCTTAATTATCCTAATTAAATTATCCTACTATCTCTTGATCATTTATCCTTGTGACTTGCCCGGAATCCATATCATATTTTGGAATTATCTGTTTTGTGTCTAACAATAAACTATGGACGAATTGTTTGAAATCGAGCGTACTTTAAGCATATTACTCAGTGTGTGTTTAGAGCCAAAACTGAATCAAATCGTGACAATTTTCTGTTTTTACGTAATTTCCGTACAGTTGTTTCTAGGCTCTGTTATTAAATATTTGAAAAGTGTAGTTTAGAAGCTAGAAGAAATGTCACGAGCCGAGAACAGAGAACCGTATCTCGAAAGGCCTGAAACTATTTTCACTGTTGATGTTCTGCTCTGGAAGTGAAAGTGAACTTTTTTGGGCAGAAAGAGCTTCTTTATCGAATCAGGCCTAAAATCTAGAATTGTGTTGTTTTTACCTTCTGCTTGATAGTTTCGAACAAACCATAACTTATCTCTGGAAGTCAAAGTTTAAAGTTGACATCAAGATAGATCATTGATGTTGAACTATCTTGAGATTTCTGTTTGGTTGCTAAAAAGCAGATGAAAAAACTCTTGATCGTAGAAAAGTGATAATAGCATAGTCACTAACAATCGGCTAATATAAGTTAAAGTGGCCTAAATGCAATTATAAGCACCATTATTTTGATTCTTCTTGTTTTTTTGTATAATATTATGTTTTATTTTAAAGTTGACAGCTTTTATTAAGGGTGTAACCTCGGCTGTTTCGTTTTTATATCCAGTTCGTCTTTATCTAATAATGCCAGACGATGTCACAGAAATTTAACAAACGTGAAAGATTTGGAATATTTTAGTATATGTACATTGCTGATGTTAGATTGGGGATATATTTCTAATACACTTAAGATAGCTGTTTAGAGTGGGGGATTTCTTTTCTCTCTGTCTACCAATATGAATTTAAGTGACAGTGTCAAGCCCTAATCTCTCGTAAGAAGAAAGGGAAAGTCACTGGCGGATGACCAATGTGGAAAAGACTCGAAAAAACGCAGACATTTACGTAACGCAGTCAAAATGACCTTAAAATCTCGAATATAAGAACCACTATTGGCAATGAAGCTTGTCTCATGATGACAGAGTGAAATTTGAACAACTTAAGCAATGAAATGGACCATAAGCGTTGTTGCTTCGTTTCTCAATCAATTTATAGAGTGTTTACGGTACATTCTCTTTTCTAGCCAGAACTTCTTCCATCGATGCTCTGCTATTAGTTGTAAAGCAGCTAACCTTCACAACATGTCCTTGGCATCAATATTACCATATTATGTTGCTTATTTTCTTTCAGAATGTCATGTATTGATCAAAAATTGTATCATTTTTATCTTAAATCCTTCCAGACGTAAAAGCCTATACCAGGTTTCTTGATTCAAACGATTTCCTTTTGCCAAGAGAATTTCCCAATAGTTCTAGCTTCAGTGTATTCGGTTGTCAGTTTTTCAAAGCTATCTGTAAAAGCCGGTTTTAAATTTTATGTTTTGTCACGGTAAAGCGATTATTTGTTAAAATGATCAAAAGCTTATGTTAATCCTAAATCCTAGCTTTTGGGTGAAATAATGATTTAGTCTTTGCAATGAATTTTTCTCATTTGGATATCATGTTCTAAGCACTTCATTTTCATATCCTTTGCATGAAACAAGAAATCTACTCATTCGCGTCCTGCTTAATAGAAGATTTTTGTCAAAATCAATTTTAAGGTTTTTTATTTAATAACGTCACTTGGATATTGTCATAATCACCCGTTTGATTGGATAAAATGCCCAGGCTCATTTTATAAAAATCCATTTGAGGAAATATTTTAAAGATTACTTAATGTCTCAAAAGATGACAAAAGGACATTGTTAATGCAAGCAGGAAAGTTACACAAATTGTTTCGTCTATTTCCACACGGATTTCTCAAATTAGAAATTCCTCAAAGAAAAAATTTACTGTTGCCTCTTTTGTGCAAGTTGGTGTTACCTTGACGAACAATGATTATGGGTAATCTTGCTTTGGCTCAACTGAAATTAAAGATATCAAAAATAAAAAGCATCAAATCAGTAAAAGAATATCCAAGGATATCCGACTTTTGCAAAGCATTTAAATATATGATCAGTTGGAAGGGTTCAAATATTTTCATATCTAGGAATGCTTGCAATTTTTGTTGATTTTTGTATTCGTAATTTCCATGTCAAAGTAATTTAACGAAGGATTTTAAACGAAAATGGAAGTGGTTTATTTAAGTGATTAGGAGTTGTTTCGAGCAAAGCATGTGTAGTCAGCCAACTCTTAAATGTATACTTATATTAAAACCAAATACTTGACGCTTTTGACTCCACCAGCCATGCTCCTAGTCTGAGCTTTCTTGATTGGGATATCTCAAGGCTCATTTCTAGTCCCTATTGCTCTAAATATGGCCATAACTGAATTAGCTTAAGCAGACCCTGGTAATATCTCGAGCATATTCTGAAGCCGTGTCAAGTTTCATGTCCCGTAAATTTGATCGAATATTTGGTTACTGCACGGAACATCAGCTTTGATAGAATTTTCTTTAAGTACGAAAGTAATGCTCTTTAAATGACGCCAATCCCAACTTTTAACAGGCCTTGTAAGTGCATTTGTGTCAAACTAGCTTCTGGAACGATTTTACTGTCTATTATTAGTATGCAATGAGAAAAGGTTCAAGTGACCCTGTACAAAATCATTTAAAACTGCTTAGGATTTTGTTGAAGTCGTTTTTTAGTCTGATTCGCTGTAAAGAACCTTTCTTACATTCGTTGCATAACTTTGAATATTTTTGAAAATTCTCCCCCATCTTCCATTTCTAAGTTTCAGTTTTTCAGTAACTCGATAGCAAGCCTTGCAAAACGAAAAATTGAAAGAAAATATCAAAGCAATGCCTTTTTTAGCCCTCGTTTTTGATGTTTGATGGCGTAACATTAATTTTATGTTTTGTTGAAATAGATAAAACATACTTTTCTTAATTGAACAAGTGCAAAGCCTGGCACAGAATCTGGGGCACATTTTTATTTTTGACAAAAGCTCCTCCTTTCTTTATGTAAGTCGTTTAGAACTGGATCCTGTTTAGTCCATCAACAACCTTAATCTATGCTTTACTGGTTACATGCTGTCAATGACGCTTCTTACCGGGCACTGATCTTGCTAGTGAATGATCTTTCTTGCACCTGGCTGGTCACGAATTCCCTGAATAGTTTGGCTAAATCATTATGATCATTCCAGTCAGAATCCTAATATTGGTGTTTTTGTTAAGAAGATTCGGTTTGCTTAATAGTTGAGTCATGCCAATTTACGTTTGGTTTTCAAAAGTAAAATTGAAATCAAAGTCTCCACCTTTTCTCATTAAAAAGGCTCAGCTACGCCGTGGACCTTCCCTTCTTTTTCAAAATTTAATTTTATCCAAGGGGATCATTTGCAAAGTCGTTTAGTATTTTGTTGTGAAACAGAGATTGCCCATCCTTGTACATCGAGGGGCATTGTGCAACCATGTAGATGCAGCCAGAAGCTCCTTTACTGTAAAAGTTATTTTTGTCTCCTGGCAGTTTGATGTATTAAAGACTTTGCTTTTCATCACCTTGGAGACTTTGCTTACCATCACATTGGAGACTTTGCTTACCATCACCCTGGAGCCTTTGCTTACCATCACCTTGGGGACTGTGCTTTTCATCACCTTGGAGACTTTGCTTACCATCACCTTGGAGACTGTGCTTTTCATCACCTTGGAGACTGTGCTTACCATCACCTTGGAGACTTTGCTTTCCATCACATTGGAGACTTTGCTTACCATCACCCTGGAGCCTTTGCTTACCATCACCTTGGATACTTTGCTTTCCATCACATTGGAGCCTTTGCTTACCATCACCTTGGAGACTGTGCTTTTCATCACCTCGGAGACTGTGCTTACCATCACCTTGGAGACTTTGCTTTCCATCACATTGGAGACTTTGCTTACCATCACCCTGGAGCCTTTGCTTACCATCACCTTGGAGACTGTGCTTTTCATCACATTGGAGACTTTGCTTACCATCACATTGGAGACTTTGCTAACCATCACCCTGGAGCCTTTGCTTACCATCACCTTGGAGACTTTGCTTACCATCACCTTGGAGACTTTGCTTACCATCACATTGGAGCCTTTGTTTACCATCACCTTGGATACTTTGCTTACCATCACCCTGGAGCCTTTGCTTACCATCACCTTGGAGACTGTGCTTTTCATCACCTTGGAGACTTTGCTTACCATCACCTTGGAGACTGTGCTTTTCATCACCTTGGAGACTGTGCTTACCATCACCTTGGAGACTTTGCTTTCCATCACATTGGAGACTTTGCTTACCATCACCCTGGAGCCTTTGCTTACCATCACCTTGGAGACTGTGCTTACCATCACCTTGGAGACTTTGCTTTCCATCACATTGGAGACTTTGCTTTCCATCACCTTGGAGACTTTGCTTACCATCACCTTGGAGACTTTGCTTACCATCACATTGGAGCCTTTGTTTACCATCACCTTGGAGACTTTGCTTACCATCACCTTGGAGACTTTGCTTACCATCACCTTGGAGACTTTGCTTACCATCACATTGGAGCCTTTGTTTACCATCACCTTGGATACTTTGCTTACCATCACCTTGGAGACTTTGCTTACCATCACATTGGAGCCTTTGTTTACCATCACCTTGGATACTTTGCTTACCATCACCTTGGAGACTTTGCTTACCATCACCTTGGAGACTTTGCTTACCATCACATTGGAGCCTTTGTTTACCATCACCTTGGATACTTTGCTTACCATCACCCTGGAGACTTTGCTTACCATCACCTTGGAGACTTTGCTTACCATCACATTGGAGCCTTTGTTTACCATCACCTTGGATACTTTGCTTACCATCACCTTGGAGACTTTGCTTACCATCACCCTGGAGCCTTTGCTTACCATCACCTTGGAGACTTTGCTTACCATCACCTTGGAGACTTTGCTTTCCATCACATTTGAGACTGTGCTTACCATCACCTTGGAGACTTTGCTTTTCATCACATTGGAGACTTCGCTTACCATCACCTTGGAGACTTTGCTTACCATCACATTGGAGCCTTTGTTTACCATCACCTTGGATACTTTGCTTACCATTAACTTGGATAACTTTCTTTCTACATTTTTTTATTCTTTTAGATAGAACCTTTTTTTATTCAATTAAATGTGAAGCTTATTTATCTAACATCTGCAAAGGAGGCCATGGTCATCATAAAGACGGTCGTATGTCTTCAGGGGATTATGCTTTTTGCAAGCTCTCAAATGCTTGGTAATCAGAGTTTTGGATTCTCTTGCTATCCTACGAAATCTGGTCTAGTGAAGTACCTATTTGCCTGATAATAACCTTGTAGCAACTCCAGTACGTGCTACCAGAGACAGGCTATGAGAATTTGGAGCTCGACAAGTATCTTGTATTGGTCCTTTGCTTTTTAAATTTTGACGTACTAGATTTCCCAGATGTCTAAGGAGTTGTTGTTTGATTGGTTCGTGGGAGTTATTCGCCTAAAGTTTATCTCATAAGCAAGGATTTACCTTTTTTCAAATGTATCAGAGCGCTGCAGACGAATCCATGGCAACAAACAGGTTTCTAACCTGTCTTGGTATGCGCTTTACTTCGTTATTTTGACCAGTTCGTTACTTCCTGTTCCAAGAACTTATGATACTCCATTTCCGCCTACTTACCAAAGCCTTCCGCCTTCTACTCATGCCCTGTAAAAAACACAAAATGTTTTAAAGCCCATGATGCTGGATGACCGAAAACCCACCTTTTCGTTATATCTCATCTGTTACCATTTACTGGTTTGTAATCAAGTTATTTTCATGGAACACCATTTATGTTTTCAGAACAAACTTATATCTGATATTAAATCAAGCTGGTGCAGCCTGTATTGTAATTCAACACGAGAAACGAAAACCAGTTCTAATGTATCTCCTGTTTTACGTATCCTGGTCAACCGTTAATCTGAGGATGATCGCTGGTCGATTGTTGGTCAAAGAAACACTTGAGAGGGGTCGCAAGTCTATGTCTCGGCTGGCTACAATTGACACACTGTCTTGTTACAGATATTCTTGTCGATATTCGATATATCTTTTTAAGGCCAGAAATTTGAACTATTCCCAAATGAGGAGAAAGTAATTTGCCTGAGTGCCTATTGACGCATTCCTTCATTAGTTAAAGCTCTTTTTCCACAAACTGGGTGTATATGGCTGGAGGTGTTGTTGTTACATCCACTTCTGGTTCTCTGACAGTATCGTTCGATGGTTGGTAAATGGTAAAATAGGGGAAGTGTTGTTTATCTCTGTCGGTAGATCTTCCCCTTCAGACCTACCATTCCATTCTTTTGGAAGATTCCAAAGCAATTTTTACGATTAAGACCTTAATGCCACAAATGAAGTTACGACTCGTTTTATCATCCATATCTTGACGGAAATCGATTTCATTCCACCAAATATTGCGGTTCCAAAAACATTAATTATGCACTTTTGTTCTTTAACAAAATTCAACTTTATGTTATGGAGATAATGTAGAATTTTTATTAACATTGTTCGTTTTGTGTGCACTGTGTGAATAGGATTAAAGTTTTTACGTCAGACATACATTCTAGATAATGAGATTCCGCGAATAAATGCATCTTTCTTCAGGGGCCATTAAACTACTCTTTTTTGAACTGGAAGCTTAGAATTTCTTCCAAGGCAGAGTTGGTTGTCGGTTCTGTTCGAAATACAAGCGATTTTCTCTGATCATTTGTAAAGATATAAGCGATAAAGTCAAGACAAATCCAATGAATCCCACACCAGCAACAACTGAGTGACTGATGATCTTCATATTAAGAGTTAGATTATCCATCTATTTCTAGTAAATCTTGAATCCAGTTTTTAGATTTCCATCAGTTTCAAATTTTCTGTCAGAATTTCCGGGATTTTGACATTTTCTGGAAAATTCCTTTGATAACGGCCTGAAATATTAAAAGCAAAGACCTGTGGCTCTCTAAGTTACAAAATTGAATTTTTTTCTTCTATCAGAAATATTTTGAAGTATTTTCACTGAATATTTAATCTGTTCTTCCCGCCATTTTAACGAATCAATATGTAACCGGCTTTGTAATAATCAGGAAAAGGAAATTAATTATAGATATCAGTGTCAAATGGATTTTTTGGTATCATTGTTAACATGTACACTTAAAATTGAAATATTGTCAAGTTTGAAGGCTTTTTGTATCACTTCAATCAGATTTCTATCAGTTTTAACATGATAGCAACTTTTTTTGTTAAAAAGCACGTTGGTTTCGATATGTTTTGATCTTTACTCTCGAATCGAGTTAATTTCCTCGCTTATTTTGTTTCTTATTTATATTAATTTCCTAAATTTGAAAGGACGAAGGATCAAAGAGAGCTAAAAAGAAGAAAGTTGTTATCTCTGGTAAGTGAAGAGATTTTGTCTATAAAAGAAGCAGTGCCATATTCTGTAAGAAAACGATGCATAAAGGAAACAGCTCAGCCTGAAGTTTATACAACTCAGGCTATGGGTACTTTTGGAAGTACCTGTAGAGGTCTTAACAAAATACAAAATCATTGTCATTTTCTTTAAATTTCGTATACATAATTAACCATAAACTAAAGTCGAGTAAATATGTTAGAATATATTGTTTTGTTTTACTGTTTCTAAATCTGTTTCATCTCCTTTAGTTCTGTCAAAATGCTATTAGCTTTTTCAATAGATCAAAGATCATAAAAAGGTTCAGGTGTGAAAGGTTAAAGATCAAAGTTGTTCAAGTGTACCTACCTACTCAGCCAAAGTGGCCCTTTTTGTAGTACCAGTCAGGAAAGCCAAACAAAGATATTTAGCTGTCTGACAAAAGAGCACGCTGTCTCCTGCTTTCAGCCTTTTGGAATTGTCATTTGAACCTTCACATACCGGTGGTTGGCTGTCAGCAGTCTAATTACTTTTTGTCCACATTTATTCACCTTTGGTGTAACTTTGGACCTTACATCTTGCTGACAAAAGTATTCTATTCTCATTAAGACGCCGAACCTCTTTTGATTATGAAGAGATACTTGAGATTTAGAGGGTTCAAGCCGCGAATCCCGATGGCTTTCTCAGTCCTTACTAGTTTCCATGTATCAGCTGTATCATATTAGGTCTATTTGCTCGTGGATCGTGGATTAGTGCTTGGCTAATCCTGTACTTCATTTTGAACGCTCTGTTGTTGTGCTTTATGGTTTGTTTCAGCCTACAAACTTCCGTGTTTTGGTCAGTTTTCGAAAATGTTTTAAACGTCTGTTATTGTTGTTGTTGTGCTTTATGGTTTGTTTCAGCATACAAACCCCCGTGTTTCGGTCAGTTTTCGAGAATCTTTTAAACGCTTATTATTGTTGCTGTTGTGCTTTATGGTTTGTTTCAGCATACAAACCCCCGTGTTTTGGTCAGCTTTCGAGAATCTTTTAAGCGTCTGTTATTGTTGTTGTTGTGCTTTTATGGTTTGTTTCAGCATACAAACCCCCGTGTTTCGTTCAGTTTTCGAGAATGTTTTAAACGCTTATTATTATTGTTGCTGTTGTGCGCCACTCTTTTTTTATAAGAACCAGTAAATTTAAGTTCAGGCTGACTGTTCTTAATTTTTTCGAAAATCTGAGACTGGATTGTTCTTAATTTGTTCTTAAATTAAGAGGGTGTAAGCAGTGCTATTGCTAGCTTTTTCGCTCTAGGGTGGTGTTCAGGCCTCATTTGCCAACAAAGTGAGTGAGACAGTCTTAATTTGCTGACAAACTTGAATATTCACCGAAAAAGCACCCACACATCGCTAAAAATCCTCGATTTTGAGAAAAGCGTTGTTCAAAATTGCATTTTGCAGAGCTCAGCCTCAGCTTGTTCTTAATTTGTTCTTAACTTTTGACCAGTTTTGAGGCTCGTGTTCTTATAAAATTGTTCTTTTAAAAAAAAGGAGTGTATATGGTTTGTTTCAGCATACAAACTTCCGTGTTTTGGTCAGTTTTCGAGAATGTTTTAAACGCTTGTTTCTCTTGTTGTTGTTGTTGCTGTTACTGCTGTTGTTGAGGCAATATGACTTTAAAGAGTTGCGCGACTTTTTAACCACCCTTTCTTGTTTCCAACGAACATCACAGTATTTTTGCCATTTGTGTTGGTCGAAATCAAATATTGTCCAAGCGAGAAATTGCTCTTTTAATTCTATATTTATTGAAAATCATCTTTTTGTAATTCTTCATGTCATAATGATATTTCATATCATTTCTTTCATCGGATTGGGTGACTAAGTTTCCAGACAGACTAAGTTTCCAGTTCACGATTAGCATGAGTCCCTTTCCAAGCCGACAACATATTTTCTCCACCAGTAAAGCCCAAGGGACAAGGGGGTTGATGAAGCCTTTGACTAGACCCGGAATTCAACATTTCGATAAGCCAATGCTTTTGATAAGCCTCGTCTTTCTTTCGTCAGGTGACTTTTTATCAATAACTTTATGGGTGGCGGAAAATCTTTTTTTTAAGATAGCAAGTAAGAATTTTTTAAACACCACAACTGCAAATTCAGCGGTTTAAGACAGACAATAAGGCCGAACCAAGAACTCTCTTTTAGCACAGTCGTTGGGTTTTTAACGGTGCAAAAAGTCTTCGTTTAATGATAAATTCTTAATAAAAAATTATTTGTCACTGTAAAAAAGAGGCTTTTGACCCTCTTTGAACCGCATTTAGCGCGATTCATGGAATAAGATGCGCGGCATATGGCTGCACTAACAGATTGAAGAAGCTAATTCTTCCGTCAAGAGAGAAGCCCTGGAATTTTTACAAGAGATCCAAAAGGACAAGAAATATGTTCTGCACGGTATGGTGAATTATTTATATTTATTATTCCAGCTATTCTGTAAGCAGAGTTGTAGGAGGACACACTTTCGTTGTATTATATTACAAAATAAAAGTTCACCTCAACTTTTCAATAATGTTCAATTCAACTTAAAACATAGTTATCAGAATCTAAAAAAATTATCATACATCTTGTGGTTGAAGAGTACAAACTTGTTAATGTCCTCGATCTATGTTGACGGAATCGATGCATCGAGAGGCACAAGATATAAGCATTTAGGAAATTTCTTGTGCAATCTTTGCAATCAACAGAAAGGATACATAACCGTCACTTGTGGATTTAACCCCTCTACAAAAAACAAGATAAATAATATTTTCAGAGAATATCGTAGGCATTTTATTACAAAGCAAAATGATTCTGGGGACTAATTTGGTTTCTTTGAGGTATAGCCGCTGTGCATTTAGCGTTACAGTCATTGATACAGAATAAATTTTTGCTGTTACCCTTTGTAGCCGATGTTTCATTCAATTCGTTTTCAAGCGAGCTCTGCAAGCAACCTTTTATGAAAATATGGTCTACATATTTCTTCTAAAAATGGATTTAAAAACGCTGGGTAGGACTAGATCAAATTTCGTAAGGAAAATTATCTTCGTACAAATCCCTGAAACGAGGCAAAAAGGGCGGGGTCCCACTGGCCGCGCCCATTACCATCCCACTCTGTAATAGCTGGAGCCGCCACTGCTTGTACCTAAGAAGGCGAATATGCTTGCGATAGGATGTGTTTTTCTGATGGGGGCCAGTTAATTTTTCCTTTGAAAGTCTTTGAAAGGTTTTGACCTTCAAGACGTAAAAATTCTTGTTATTTCCCGGCTATCAGTTATGATTTCGTCTCCTCTTTGACGAAATCCACTGGTAAATTGCAATTATAAAAATATGACGAACCCTATACAAGGTTTTTGTCCTTACATAACAAGAGCTGCTTTTCCTTAAATTTGCAGTGAATATTTTGAGTTTTTGAAGACTTGTAATTCCGTTTTTGATCTTTGTAAATGTGCTCGTAGGTCAGAGGAGCTGCGGAGGTGCAGCAAAGAATGCTGGAGATAACCCTTGAATTAAAGAGGAGACCGTGGAGATAAAAGGAGCGGTGACCCATCAAACATTGTATTATTTGCACACATGATTGGAGATGCAGTTATCTTTTAATGGTGCATTTGCACAAACAACTGTTAGACGACACTAGATGCAAAAGGGGCACACACGGAGCGTGCAACGGAGGAACTCAGTCTGTAGGCTTGTCCAGATGACCATGGTAACAGAACGAAGTATCGCAAGGATTGCTGTGCTCGGCGCCAAAGGAGTCGGAAAAACAGGTTGGTAATGTTTTTGCATTCTGTTTGGTTTTTATTCTTAAATATCAGTTAGTGTTTTGAGAGTTTCCTCTTGTTAAAGTGTTTTGTTAAACCGGAGACAGCCTGGTGACGCGAAAGGGCTTTTAGAACACTTATTGATTCTGCAAAATACCCTCTAGCAGTGGAAGACCTCCATGTCCTCAATAAAACCTCACGTTAGAAGGGTTGATTAAAGAATTTCCTCATCAATCGTGAGTCGTTGCTTTAGGAAATGTCTGTAGCAATTTATTTCTTACTTCATGCGAGCTTTCGAAATAACCTTTGATTTTTTAAAGAGTGAGATATCCACCAAATTGTGTACGATGAATTTAACTCACTCAAGAAGTTATTTTTTCGAATATGCATAAGATCGCTCCTTTAAAAATTCCGGAGTAGAAAACTATGAAGAACACGTAAACTTTTCAATTACAAAGTTCAGTATGAACACTGAACATAACAAATCCGAAGAGGTTTGACGAATACTCATTTTTTTGTTTGCCTATGGTAAAAGAGTGTTGGGATTTCTTGCTACCGCTAGAATATTGACGACAATATTCAGTTTTTGAAAAGCGAATAACACATGTCTGAAGAACCAAATTTCTTCAATTCGAATCAGATTCCTATGAAATACATTATAAATTATAAATATAAATTTATTTACCGTAGCATAATTCTTTGTATTAGGCTTTTTTGTAAATCATGCTGAACTTTCTAAATTTCGACCAAACAACAAACAAGGTAATTACACTCAGATCCCCGGAACAATCTCTTGTGCAATTACACGTAGCGAAAAGCCTGTCTAGTTTATCGTTATGTCTGCGACAACATTCTGCCGGTATGCTCTCGGGTTTACAGTGGCATTACAGTGAATCGCTACAGTTAGCCATGGCTTAACCAACATGTCATAAAGAGTTAGACCAAGCTCTTTTATAACCAAGCTTCGATCATTTTTGGTTGTCTTGGAGACTGCTGTCTTTGCCATCATTGAGAGATGTTGAGCCAGCAAATTTTTTCGGTTAATAACGGTTTAACTTTGTTTAAGACTTTTGTTAATTTTCACTGCTTTGAAAGCCATATTTGAGTCAGTATACTGTAGGAGAGGCCGAATTTTAAAATAACAGTACGATTCCTTCGGATAACTCGAACTCTGATAACTCGAACCCCCGATTACTCGAACACCCGATAACTCGAACACCCGATAAAATGTTTTTGTATACCTCAACCAATACGTTAAAGCATCCGATTTCAGTGTTCTGTTAGAATGCTTAATTCCACTTCTAACCTGCTGTTGATTAACACACAAGAAACGCATTTGTTAATACTCCCCGTTAACAAATTAAGCATCTTCTTGATTAAGCAAACTAACAACAGCACCTCTACTGCCTGCTTCTACTTTTCAGACTGAGAGAATATTAGAGAATAAAACGTGTGTTGAGAATATTCTGTGTTGATTGGCCACCTATGGCTTATTTTTGTTTGTTACGTTACTTGATCGCATTGATATAACAGGATTGAGGGGTATGACATGCAGCCAACGTGCATCCGAAAGTGATGTAAATGAACCTTGGATGGTAAGACAGTGAGGGAAAGTGTTTTGAAGATATATAACAGGGAGTGAGGGATTTCAATGTCTTTCACCCATTCTATTTGAAATTGCATAACTCCCGAAATGGATTACATTTATCAGGATTAAGCAGGAGACAAGGGGTCGACAAACCTGCCAAAAACAGATTTAACATTCTAGCCGAACAACTTTTATCCCTTCTGATACGATAAACAGCTTAAAACTGCTAAACAATGCTTTTTGGAATTCTGAATGTCTCCTTATTTTTGATAAGTTGAATAGCTGACCCACCACTTGCACCAAAATGCCGAAAGTTTTTCATACATCTGGAAGCAAAGGTAGTGTAGTTGGGAAAGGAGCTTTTTGTTTTATGGTCCCTCGCGCTTAAGCCTGCCACTTTCTCAACTTCAAATGTGTTCTCCTTGTCCCCACTTAAGAGCGTTATCCCACGATAATATTCCCATGTAACCCCTGTGTGCAGTATTCAAGGGTCTGGACTAAACTGTACCATTCTATCCACTACTAACACCGGCCTAGCGGATCCCAAAAGTGCAGATGACTTTATTAAGAGAGTGCGGACACGTTGTCCAAAGCCCGTTTTCGGTATTCAGCGGGAGTTTTGTATACATTTGCTAGACATTTGGATCTCCCTAGGTAGGCTCCGTCTTTGCTCGCAAGCGACTGAGTCGAATGCTGGGATTAGAGATCCAAGCTAAAGTGGAGGGATGTCTGGATTTGGTATTAACTGATCAGTCCATCAGACTGTTTTTGAACCCAAGTGTAAAGCAGCTTTTCTTTTGAAAGCATTGTATCTAAATCCACTGTGTAATGCATCATATCTCGCCGGTCTCAACCATTGCTTTCCAGCCTGTTTGCATTGATCTTTGTGCTTCGTATTTTCTGAATAGCCTGCTAGCAGATGATAGGGGACCGTGGGTACCAGTAGACCAATAACGCAACATTTAGGCTGCAGCAAAGAATTAATACTGTGGTATTGGGTTTGTGCCTTTCTAAATTGACTCTTGCAGGACACTGTTCTTGCCCTATTTAAGTATCGCCTTTATCACATAACAGTAAAGATACAGTTCTCTATGTTTGATTTGGATTATCTGCCTATATATTTAAGTAAAACATACCGGAGGACAAGTTGGTTCTTATTAAATCAGATCCATCCAGCATCAAATCAGATCCTTTCCCAGGCGTCTTTATTTGGTTTTAGACAATAGAAGTATCTGCTATCTCATCGATCTTGTATCCACATTGAGCTGTGGTCAGCCAGATTGCCAACTGGAGCCGTACAAAATCCAGGCACTGATTTCAACCCAAGGGTATTCTTTTCGTGACATCCCCAGGTGCTATGGTAGATACAAAAGAGTTGTAGCACATTGCTCTTAAGGGATAGTATTCATGGGCGATGGGCGCCCTCCGGTGTCACAAAGGGGTGTATTTGTCAATGACACGACCTTCGTTACATCTTGAAGGAGCACTAGCCAGAATGGGCAATTTAAATAGATTACTGTACTATTTAAATAGGTTTTGGTACAGACTTGGTTGAAGAAAATTTTTTAATTTGAGTGACTGCCTTTCGAAATTATTGCGGAGAAAATCTTCAAATGTATGAGGCAACCCTCCGTCCTGGAATCAGAACGCATACGTAATAATGCCTTCGTTCTATGCGCATACTGTTTGACTCCTGGACGGAGGTTTGTTTTACTCTCTTGCTCGTCTCCCTGAAAAGATAGGTCCCATGTGTTACGTCATAGTGATTACATCGACAGGAATATTTGATACGATATCGCGGAGCCTCCTTCACACCAGTTATAAAAAGTATTGTTCACGAGGAAAACGTCTTTTCCAAGGGGCACGATCCATGTTGTTTAGTTTATATTAGGAATAATATTCATTGATTAATTTTAAGTAGAAAACAAAGAAGAACAGGAAATAGGTTAATGGACGGCTAAGAATATTTAATGTACTCACAATGGATAATCAACTCGTTTAAGACAACAAAGATTTTCAGATAAATTTGGCATCCAAGAAGAATAGACTTGCCAAACATAGATATTATATGTAAGAAATATTGTGAATGAAAATGTCGAGTTCCCCGTGAGTAATTCATTTTAAGGCGACTCGCCCCACAGGAACCCGATGACTCAAGAACAGCGTGTACTGTTTAGAATTTTAATTGATAAGCAATTAGGAAGTTGACTGTTGAATGTATCAAAGAGAAGATGCTTGTGGGAAGCAATCCAATGTTCTGTAGCTGGTAGGTGGTACAGCTGTTTCTAATGACGATAGCAACCCTAATGAAACTTCATATTGTCTGTAAAAAGATTGGGGAATTAAATTGCTTTTAAGTCGAGAACACGAACAAGCCCATTGATATTGCTCTTCACGACTATTTTTACACGATTATTTAAGATAATTGCTAATTTGAACCTTTGTTTGTCTTGTAAAATACCAAAGTTATCACTATAAAAATGCGAACAATTATAATAATCCTCAAAAATATCCACGCTCCTCTGAAGTTGTTAACGGTCTACTTACTACAGCAACAGGTAGCAAGACACCTTAACTTTGTCATCTCACCTTAATTGTATTTTCTTCTGTCTGTCTTCCTGTTTTATTTAAACAGTAATTTCTTATTTGAATTATACCTAACTTGTATATCAACACATCCTTCCTTTGGAGATTTTTCATTGTTTCTTTATTATCAATTAAGCGATTATCCGTTTACTGATTTACTACACAAAATATTTGATCGTTTTATCATGTTTATCATTTCCTAAGACCTCCTTATTTTCGATATCTATTTCTATGTACAGATCTAGAGTAATTGAGTTACATGGACTTGTTTGAGTTAATTCTAAGGCTGTTTCTTTTCATAACAAAGCTTGAAAGTATTTTCTCTCTAAATCCTCGTTCGAGGTTACCATTCGGTGGTCTGTTTGCTCTTATAAATGGATTTCCTTATTAATTGCGCGAGCTTCATGTTATTATTGAATTGGAGATAACGTATTTGTGGTTGCTAGACAAGGCCTTGGTATTCTTTTTGCATGTGACTTCATTCAAATGTTCTGGATCGTCTTCACATCAATACTATCTACCAATCAGCTCTTTTGGAATTTTTAAGAAGGAAAGCTTAATTTTCCTCTATACATTACTCCGTTATCGGATAACTGATTTTCTTCAGAATTTCAACAATCACTCCAGCTGATCGGTTACTTTATCGATAAGAAGGTGTTGCCAAAAGATTTCCACATCATATTCTGGTCAACCCGAATATTTTCCTTTGAGGTCTTTACTTAAAACAAATTTTTCGTATATCGTCTTAATTTTCATTTTAAAAAAAATTCACTATCTCTCTTTTCTTCTTCTCTGTTATCTCAATCAAGAACTTGTATTAACTGTGCAGAAACCACCTCTTACTTGCGAGTTCCCGTTTTTACATCACTTTTTCTTGCTTGCCTTTTAGAAGATAACTAACTGGGAACAAAAATAGCCTTTTTGTATGATCTCGGTTTCAAAGCATATCAACTAAACGCTTTTGCTAGCAACCATATTGTCTGTATTGTAAGTTGCAATGACCAGTCGTCTTTTCTTTATCAACACTACATTGCCGAGAACAGTCATGATGCCACCGAAAATAGCAGCTGCATTGTTCTTTAGGCCAGTTGCTTTATTTGTGGGTTTATTTCGGTTTTTTCTTGGTGGCCCGTTCATCAATCAGTCCCTGGTGATCTGTTGTAATGCCACAAAGCGTGTTTACGTGCATAGGATTTGTGGATTAGAAGCAAATCACAACTCTAACAAAAATACGACAATGCCCTGTATAATACGAGTAAGTTGATAAATTCAATTTCACGTTCCGCCACAGCAAGATCAGTCTCAGGTTTGGCTTTTGACGTTAAATTTTAATGTTTCAGAGATTATTTCCTGATCAGTTGTGTCGCATGAAACCTCGCGAGGACAATACAGAGCTGTTGTGTCAAAGGCGCTAGATTAGCTTGTGATTTCGTCTTTAAAAGTCAACACTGTCGAGATCTTTAAGAACTGCTTTGCTATCAGAGCGTATTAAAGAGAGTATGTAGTGTAAAAGGGTGGGTTGTTCATCAAAGAAAGAAAACTGCCTGTGCGGTACAAATGACCCTGTGGTGTGACTCGATATTATCTGTTTTAGTTTTAATTCAGGCCCATCCATGAATAATCGTACCATGCTTTGTGTTTATTAACTAATATATTTGTAAATGACAATGTATCCCAGGGTTAGAACACTAAAATGTGTGTATCACAAAAGTCGTTCGTCATATCAATGTCTGGGATGCTAAACAATGGTTTTAGTAAACTAACAAAGAAGTTGCTGGCATCACTATTTACAATCTTTCGAATCGTGTCATTCTTTATTGTAATATCACTTAATTTGTCGGGAGAAAGCAAACCAGCTCGCAGAAAGAACACTTGCTTTAAGTTTGCTTAATTTTCCGTGATTAATTCATGCCTTTTAAGGCAAGTCAAAAAACACGGTTGTTAAGAAAAACGAGCGATTTTTGTCAACAACTTTTGTCAGAGAAATTTATACAATTTAATTTCATCTGTTACATTAATTTGACGGCAGCCGCGATCCAAAGTTATATGGTGAGGAACGAATGAGTTGTGATATTGAGTGACGCCCTTGATGCTTTTTTGATTTCATTTCATATACAATACACGTGCTTCTTATTCAATTAAAATTTAAAGGATAACATGCTTAGAAGATGGTTTGAAGAACAAACACTTCGACGATAATTGTATTTCAGACCAATATTGGAATATGAAATCGTGAAGCCATGCCACCCAGATCGGAACTGGCTCCATCTCAATCAACCCTCTTTAGGCTTTTTTAATCAACTGGCCGATAACACAACAAACAGAGTACGGGTCTGGCTAAAATAAAAGGAACTGAAATTGTAAAGCTTTGTGTTAGGAAAGGATTTGCCATGGTGGTAGTTGAATTCTTTCATAAGACGGATCGATTTGGGTTATGTGTTTTGAGTGTTTAGGCTGAATGAGTTTTAGTATTTATTAGGGCATATTTAAATTGAATTCAGTGTCATTTTAAAGATAAGCCAAGCATACGGTCTGCTGACAGAGTGGTTAAGGCGAAATTTACTGAAACGAATAAGAATTTTTAAATTCATGTAAATTTGAAATAGGAGTAAAATTTATTACGCAACCTTTTCTTGGTCCTTTTCAAACCATTTTAATAATTAATTCTGATGCTTAGTACAGTGCAATGTTTCTTAAAGTGGTTTTATTATGTTGTTTTATTCATTTTTCTAATCTTAAGAAACTTTCATTCTTTTTAGCTATCATTGTTCGGTTTCTGACAAGACGTTTTCTGCCAGAATATCAATCCGGCATTGAGACAGTCTACCATTACAAAGAAGGCAATGAAGATGCTGATATTCAGATCATAGATACATGTGGAAATGTAAGTTTTATCAAGTTCGATAGTTTGCTGGTGTTTAAATCATCAGTTATTGTTTTAAATCTGAACATTTCGATCTTCATGATTATCATCACAATCTTCACCATCATTTTGATCGCCATCGATCACTAGTTATCGATCGATAATCATCGATCACTCATCATTTATCACAAATCATCAAAAAAGAATAATCATCAAAAAATCAGAGCATTGCTTTTCCCAACCATTCAAAATATTACTCAGACACCTAAATTTCGATTTCTTTTTAAAATGATACACAAACACAAACTTTAAACATGATTATGAGTTAAATAACAAATCAGCTGTCTCTAAATTAATTAATTTTTACCTTGTAGAATGATGATTTGTGCATGTGCGCGGATTCCATCATCCTGGTATTTTCTGTCACCAACCGAAAAAGTTTTGAGTACATAAAGAATCTGTCACAATGGCTAAAAAGCAGAAAAGGAAAAGAGGCAGAGTTCACGATTATTGCCAATAAAACAGACTTGAGTCACAAACGACAAATTAATCGCAATGAAGCAATGACTTTGGCAAAATCCATAAATGGGTCTTATTTTGAAATCTCAGCTGCAAAAGACATTGAACCAATTCGTGATATATTCTTGAGAGTGCTTTGCAGCATTGAAGAGATTCTGCGAAATGCTGTTAGTGACAAAAGGAAGAAAACAAAAGTCGCTCCTCAAGCACCGACGGAGCCAAAGAGAAAACATTCAAGCATCAGGGACATATTCAAGAAACGACCATCAGTGTAGAGCGATTCCGCGATTTGATAAGGTCCATCAGAGAATTGGGACTGGTAGCAGTGAAGCAAAGCTGCGCCATTGGTGTTCAATGCTGTCCTGATTTCAAGTAGCATGTGCAATCGCTGGTGAAACTCTCAAGAAAGCAGAAATGTATCATTTGCCGATCAGCAATATACGATGTATATTATTGTGGCAAGCACTCTGATAAGATGGTTGCCTGAAAAGACGCTACTATGATTGGATGATTGCCTTAAAGAGGCTACGCTGATAGGTTGATCGCCTGGGAAGGGACTGCTGCGGACGTTGATGCAAACTTAGGACAAGAAGATTCCAAGAGTAGAAAATGAACAAGAAAATGTCTATAACAACAAATTAAAGAGTTAATGAGAAATTGTAAAAATTTTTTGTGATTTTCAACCACAGAGTCTTGGACGTAAATTATTTGCAGACGAAAATCATGTTTTGGGATGTCCTCTTCTCCTCTTTTCTCTTTTTTCTAAAAAAGTCTCAGCCTTCAGGGAACGTTGCACCCCTTCAGCAAGTTTTCTATGTATTTTCAGTCAACAAATGTCATACTCGTGAGTATGCTTTATAGGTTTGAACAATTAAAGTACAGTATTGTTTGACCGTGTTCCCTTCAACCCTTCAGCCCGATGGCACTTAATCTCCTTCCTTGTTCCTTGTCTGCCGCACCCTGCATTGACTATAGCGAGCTCGCCAAGTACCCTATCAAAAACTTACCAACTAATAACCTATCATGATCCTGTCGGTGAAATCATGATCTGTTGATTGGGTTATCAAACTATTTGCATTGTTTTGATTGTTGTAAACTATTTCTGAATTAATAAAAAATTCGATTGTTGATAGACGAGTAGAGTATAAAGAGCTTTATTGTTGTACAATGTATAGTTTGTAAAATATGATTGAGTAAAATAAATTTGAGTAAATATAAGTGACGTTTACTGTCCAATATAGTCTTTTTAATAAAGGCTCATTGAAGCAATTTCATCCAACTTGTATCAAGTGGCCTAAGTTATATGTTTGCCATTTATTGAATACACTGCGCTCTTTATGAAAACGGATCGCGATTCATAATCTTCTCCTAATCCAAGATGTGAAGTATTTGCCTAAAGTGTTCGGCTCATAAAGTTTAGTGTTTCCGCTAAATCTTCTCAAAACCAGCCCGGCTCTGGTTCTTGTTTTGAGCACCTTTTGGCACCGAATGATATGTTTTTTCTTTTGCTCGTCAATGCAGCAATCAACCCCAAGGGTTTCTGCACTTTACCCGTCCACGAATGAGTCCAGGACAAAATAAGGGTTTTTCTTAAACAAAGAAGCAAACGGGGCATCTTGCAACATGGAGGCCATTAAGCAATATAAGCAGCTTTACGGAGGAGGGTAGGGGGCAAATACAGCACTCTCTCTCCTATTTCATGACGTCAAGTTCTAAGTTCATATGTTTTTACATGCTCAAGTTAATTTTTGGCAAGAAGCAAAGACCAGTATGCCTCGAGGTTGCTATGTTCCAGGTCTCTACGTGCCGGTTTGTCTACATGCCTTTGCTTTCATGTTTCAATGTTGCTACATGCCCTTGGCTTTAAGTATCCATGCTTCTTTGTGCCCACGATTCTACGTGCCCAATTTTCAACATTGTCTCTATGTATTTATGTTGCTTCACGCCCTTGGCTTTAAGTACCCATGTTTCTTTGTCCCCATGATTCTATGTGCCCATGATTCTACGTCCCCATATTTCTTTATACCCTGTTTTCAGTATCGCAGTTTTCTGTTTTTGCTGAGCAAATTCTTCGGTTGTAATTCATTTTTTATCTTGTCTATAACATAAAAATACGTACACAGATTTCAAATAGCACTATGGACCACCCCCCAATGCGTTCCAATCTCTCTAATTCCACATTTTCGCCTAACTCCGGCACATCACAATTTCGAACGAGTATACCTTGACTTTCCAGTAACTACGTAATGTTACAATGTCACAGGCGATTCAGCAGACCGTGAACGGCCCTGAAAGATTTCACTTTGTTAAGTATCGTTTCATATTAAGGAAATGCTGGGCTCATTAGATATTTTGTAAACAAAAATGGCATCTTTATTTCAGATACAATGTTTTTTAGATACATTCTTTGAATTTAGCATATTTGCTTCATTGTTGTTAATTTGTCGTTGCAAAATAGCAACCTCAGTTTCCGCAAAGTAGAAAAATTTCTGCTCCTTCAGCTCTTTTTGTATTCGAAGGTAGAAAATGCTCTTTGTTTTCTTCAAGGCTGTTGCCGAAATCAACATAAATCTGGTTGTTTTGGCGCAAATCTTTTGCGGTGTTGTGGTGACCTTTGGCGGTTCAATTGACTCCAAGTTGCCTCTTCGTTTGTAAGCTATCTCCATTCAGACAAAATCATTCACCAATCGAGCTTTTTTCACTGTTCGACTGACTATAGTATCTTTATGCATATAAATACTCGTGATAAAAATTATTACTCAGTTATGATATCAAGCGCTCCATCTCTGTTATTGAAAACGGCTCTTGTATTCATAGTCATTGCTACATCTCAGCCTAATCTTTGTTGGCAGAACTACAGACCATTTCATTAGACAACATACGAAATGAGGCTTCAATTGTAACAGCCTGAGCACAAATGAATATCAAACTTTTTCATCTTGCAAATTGGTTTGAAATTGTACTGAAAAGTCTGTCTCCTCTACCACTCTTTAAACTCTATGGTTCCTTAATACCTTTCATAGGACCAATCTTTTCTACTGCTACTAAATTCTAAAATTTGCCTTTTTCTGAAGGATAAGAAATTGTCTGAAAAGCTGGGCGTTTTATTTTTGTTGGTGCAGTGATATGTTTACAGACCCTTGTTCTAGGTGGTGTGGAGCCCCTATACCACCCCATGCATTGTCTTGAAACGAGCCGACGTTTAACTATACATTTTTACATTCAATATGCCACCCATTGTCTCCAACAATTTTTTCTGGGTACTGTATTCTTTAGTGAATCTAAACGATCAATTTGTCTAATGCTTTAATGGAACCTTAAAGATTTAGCTTAAAAATAGTCTTATAGCTAAGAAAGGGAACTGTATTTTATGTACCCTCTTTTTGGTGACTGTTGATCCATAAGAAATGTCCGCCTTTGATAAACTAGTATTCTGTGTATGTTGCAGTCCAAAGTGTATGTCCAGGAGGGCTATTATAGTCATGACGTTTCTAACAGCTCTTCAATTGCACATAGTGACTAAAAGCATTAGAGTTAATAATTCCACTGATATTGGAATGTATTTTCATGAAATCCATTTTTTAGGATCATTTTAATGCTTTGCGAATGACAACAATCGAGCTCAGAAGAATTCAGAGGTTTTTTTCTTTCTTTATTTAAAGTTGGTACAATTTCTAGCTATGCATACTCAAGCTAACTGAAACCAACTAATTTGAATTACCAACGCTTAATATAATATAAATCAAATATAACCGATGGTGCTAACCTATTCCTTGCAAATATCACAAGTACAATAAAACGATGTAAATTCTGAGATTTTTTTCTTGAATATTTGTAAAGTAGGGGAGTACTTGATCTCATTTGGAACTGAGTTCCATATTTGGCTACATCTGTATGATACGGTATTAAATCCATATATTTTGTAATGTGGCTCCGCTGTTTTGAATTGGGAGTTTCTTAGGAAATATGGGTATTCATTGACGGAAAATATTTCATCCTTAAAAGATGGATTCGAACCGTTAAATGTTTTGTAAATTTCTATCGCAAGATATTATAAATTTTTCTTATTAGAAGTTATTGTTTTATTATTTATTAAAAGTTGTTCAAAAGTTGATTCATAATCATCATAAGCTATTCTCATTGCTCTTTCATGAAGCTTGACATCCTTTCGTTATATTTGACCTTAAAAAGCTTCAACTCGACATTTTCGTATTTTTCGCCCTCATTTACACACCGTAACATCCCTTAAAAATGGCTCGTTCCTGATCTCCCAATGCTTTCTTCTTCTACGTTTACTCTTTGCATATTACCATATATGCCACAACACAGCTGTTTACTGTGCACTGGTCTGCTAGTTTTTTGTTGCATCGCAGTACATCGCAGCCTAACCACAGTGCGCAGCACTTGGCAATGCTGCGATTTCGAATACAGCAGACAATGAAGTTAGTTTTGTTTAACTAGTTGAAAGCACCACTACACACACAGTGAGTTTGTGCGCGCGATCACACGCCCCGTGCACCCTGCTATGCTTCATTTGCAGTTGAGTCCCTTATCAAAGGAGCTAGTCACCTTTGTTTTCTGATACTTTCTAACAAATCTGATGCCATTGCTTGTTTAAATGACCCTATTAAAAAGCCACCTTTCCAGAGTAATTCTCACCTTGTATGCAAAAAGAACCTTTAAACAATCTGAAGCCTGCGTAAACACTGAGGTCAGCAAGGATTCGAAAATTCATAAAATGGATAGTACACCTTATGATATCTGTTTTTGTGGAAAACATGTTTTTGTCAAAGACATGCGTTCAAATCAGTATTTCTTATCTTTGAAGAGCATGGAATTATTCACAATTTCGCATATCATATCCAGTAATCTTATTTAACGCTAGTTTACAAGATTGTTAAATTGATAAACATAGCAATATTCTATTAAATAGCAGATATCTAGAATGCAAAGTCGTAAACTGGTTAAAGATAAAAGATAATAATTGATGAAATCATCAGATACATGTGATAGAATTGATAGTTTCAGATCATGCGTGCAAGTCTCTAGCTATCAGCGACTGTAATTATAGAGGGCACGAGGGGGGCCCCAAACAGCGTTCTCCTCGGAAAATTCGGGCTTTCCTTGCATAATTGACAAAAGTTTACCCATCCAAGATCTTTATTGTCGGAAAATCGTGGGCCTAAGCCCCCTACGAAAGTCCGAATGAAAACCTAAACTTCCGCCACTGGCTACCCGGCTGTCTCTATCAGCCTAGGATACCTAATGAAAAAAGTGAGACCTGTTTGAAATATGAGATGCCTTTTGAAGGCATTAGCCAAGAGCTTGATAAGTTATTGTTGCAATTTCCTTGCTGCCTCGAACCTCCCCTGTATTTTTAAACAACATTCATTTGTTGCTTGGTAGGCAAGAGAATAAGCCTTTATGAGCGGGGCTCAAATACACAACCAACTTCACTTCATTTAAGCCACCTACCGCCTATAACTTGTCGCTTGCTTTTCAGCATACTGTATCCATTATTTGCTGCGATGACCTGCAGGACATTTCATCTAATAAGTATCTGTTTTGTTGGCAGAAAAGGGAAAGAGAGCTATCTCAAGAAGAACCAAATTTGCAAACAGCATTTTGATGACTAAGATTTGGTGTAAGTCAATAAGCATATTTCTATTTGGAATTCTTTTTATTGAAAGATGTATGCAGATATTTTGCCTTTTGCCAGTATTGCTAAAATGCTTCTATTGTTTGTTCCAACAGTAATCAAATTCTGCTGTGCATCTATAAATTATTTGTGAACAACATTATATCAATACATATTTCGAATAGATTTGTCAAGGACGTACTCCACGTCTACAAATAAGTAATTTAAGTCGTTCTAGGAGATCCATGAATCTAACTGCCACTGTCAAATTAAAATCCAAATTAAAAGTTGAGCTTTCAGTGGGTTTGAAAAGAAATACTTGGAGAACAGGGGCAATCTTTCCATTCTTTTGGCTGTAATTTCTTCACAAATGATTTTTTCAATATTAAGATTCACTTGACCGTGCCCTCTTTCTTTCTACAAATATATTTTTTGGCATTTTTCATGAAAATATCAACAAGGCATTAAACTGGGATTTTAGAAAACTTGAAAAGGGGATCTTTGACCAAAGACATTCGTTTAGTTATGTTGCAAGCAACTAGCAATGCCACCCATGATCATTGCCGAATGCTTTGGTATT